GCCGAACGAGGGCTTCCCGGCTAAGAGCTGACCGCAGCGGCCCCGACGACCGCGGGCCAGCGACCCGAGAAATAACATGGGGAGTCCTGCTGCTGCCTGCTGTTGTTTGTTTTCCGTAGTAAATACCTGAATATGCAGAGACTCAACAGGTCATTCAGTTGTGTGGTATCATTCAGATGATCAAATGAAATGTTGCAACATTAATATCAGTTTACCTGATCTTGATCAATAATCACATTGATGAATTGGTGCATGAATAACTACAGACCCTGCTTCCTGCAGCAGCTTTTTCTGCTCTAGATTTATGATCTGCTATTTGTATATTTCAACGAAAAAGACGGAAATGGCATTAATTATTTAGATTTATTTGTGGATTTTTTTGTCGATGTTAACCCTGTTGTGTCTCAGTTCATGAAGCTGTTTTCAATGTTTCCCGCGATGCGAGCAGCTGATTGTGCAGCAGATGGCCGCGGACATGATCAATTTCGAAGTGCTAGTTCTGGATCAAGAGAAAGCCTGCTGTGCTGTGCCGATGATTTTATTTTGCGAGGATGGATTGAGGAAGGGGGACACACATATCGACTGTCGGCAATAATCAGATTCATACTCATAAAATACTTGTTTACATGTTTTGTGTGTTTGTGTGTGTGTGTGTGTAACTCTGCCCACTAATCCGTTACGTATTTTGTTTCTTGTTGACATAAATACAAAAATTATGCAAAAGAAAAGAAGTGAAATAATGTACAAAACTAAAGTGTATGATCCAGTATCGAACCCGCGACCTTCACCATTGCAGGCGAACGCGTTAGTCACTAGACCACCAGCAGTAGGTGCTACATTTCTTCGCAAATTCATACCTTTAAAACACTATGAGTGCTGGCAGGCTTTACAGCAACGTATGTAAAATAGAGCCTTTTTTATTATTATAAACTTGTCGCTTCCGTACAAATGTGAAACAATATATCTGACGGAGATTTCTGCGGAGTTTCTGCACTTTCCTGTCAACAGAAACAGACATGCTGTCTGCCGCTGCCTTCCGCCTCCAGGCTTTTTCAGACTAATAACTGAAAACTAAAGACTGCACACGTTAACTGAACAAAGATTACAGCAATACACCACAACTTTCTCGCTACAAATATCGTCAAAACATATTTATGTGCTCAAACGATCTTAGTTTATCAAATTTTCTCTTAGAACAGCCTGAACAGAGTCCGCCATACTTTCTCTGTTTCTCAGTCCTACATGGACCAATCACATTGCTGTTCTGCATTTCTTCATTTGCATGTAAAGGCCGGATTTGCTCACTAGCTAACTAGTGAGCAGTACAGCGGTCAAACTAGTTAACATGTTACACAGAATGCCAGCCAAGTGTGTATTTATTCAAATTCCACAAATTTACTAGTTTGAGGGGCATTTTTCTGCAGCTAGTTAACTAGTGACAGTGTTTTGTGTTCACTACTTAACATGTAAGGCTCAGTTTGCCCTCTATAAGCTAGTGAGAAAAAATTATAATGCAGATATGCTCACTAGTTAACTAGTGAGTGCTTCCTGTCCCATTACAAGTGAACTAGAAAGGCCAAATATGTCAACTAGTTAACTAGTGAAGGTAAATTTGTCACTAGTTAACTAGTAAGAACACATTTTTACATAACAAGTAAACTAGATTGCTCCAAAAACAGCAACTAGTGTGCGTCTTGTGCGCACTAGTTAACTAGTGAGCATATCTGCACCTCACTAGTTAACTAGTGAGCATATCTGCACCTCACTAGTTAACTAGTGAGCAAATCCGCACCTCACTAGTTAACTAGTGAGCAAATCCGCACCTCACTAGTTAACTAGTGAGCAAATCCGCACCTCACTAGTTAACTAGTGAGCAAATCCGCACTTCACTAGTTAACTAGTGAGCAAATCCGCGCCTCACTAGTTAGCTAGTAAGCAAATCCGCACTTCACTAGTTAACTAGTGAGCATATCTGTGCCTCACTAGTTAACTAGTGAGCAAATCCGCACCCTACTAGTTAACTAGTTGGCGTTTTGGGGCCCACTAGTTAACTAGTGAGCATATCTGCACTTTACAAGTTAACTAGTGATGCTTTTTTGCACCTTACTAGTTAACTAGTGGGTGCTTTAGGGCACACTAGTTAACTAGTGAGCAAATCTGCACCTCACTAGTTAACTAGTGAGCAAATCCGCACATCACTAGTTAACTAGTGAGCATATCTGTGCCTCACTAGTTAACTAGTGAGCAAATCCGCACCCTACTAGTTAACTTGTTGACATTTTGGGGCCCACTAGTTAACTAGTGAGCATATCTGCACTTTACAAGTTAACTAGTGATGCTTTTTTGCACCTTACTAGTTAACTAGTGGGCGCTTTAGGGCGCACTAGTTAACTAGTGAGCAAATCTGCACCTCACTAGTTAACTAGTGAGCATATCCGCACCTTACTAGTTAACTTGTGGGCGATTTGGGGCCCACTAGTGAACTAGTGACACTTATTTTGCACCTCACTAGTTAACTAGTGGACATTTGTACCCTCTCTAGTTAACTAGTGAGCAGTTCTGCCTTCACAAGTTTACATGTAAGTGTCACACTGAAGCCACTACTAGTTCACTAGCTGAGGTTCCTCTGGCCAGCATGTTAACTTGTGTGCCGCATGCAAATGTTTGGGGTGGGATTTTACGAAATTCTGCACTGTGATTGGTTGTCATATTTTATTTTGACACAGGGAGCCAATAGAGAGTCTTAATTTGAGAAATTCTCCGCCTCCTAATTAGAATTCTGCGCAACTAGCTAGCTAGTGTGAATGTAGACTTGAACTAGTTTACTAGTATACATTTATGTCCTCACTAGTTAACTAGTTTGGACAATGGATGCATCAACTAGGTAACTAGTGAGCCTGCTGCCATCAACTAGCTAGCTAGTGAGCCATTAATGGTTCACTAGTTAACTAGTGGCACTGACCTACTCCAACTAGTTAACTAGTTAGGAGTTAAGCCTTCACTAGTTAAGTAGTGTGCACATTTTGGCCATCACTAGTTAACTAGTGAGACACAAAAAACCTTCAACTAGCTGACTGGTATGCACTTTGGCCTTTACTAGTTAACTAGTGAGCCATTTATGTGACAACTAGTTAACTAGTGAAGCCAAAATGTGTTCACTAGTTAACTAGTGCACATTTATGTCTACCACAAGTTAACTAGTGTGCACATTTTGGCCATCACTAGTTAACTAGTGAGACACAAAAACCTTCAACTAGCTGACTGGTATGCATTTTGGTCTTTACTAGTTAACTAGTGAGCCATTTATGTGTCAACTAGTTAACTAGTGAAGCCAAAATATGTTCACTAGTTAACTAGTGCGCATTTATGTCTACCACAAGTTAACTAGTGTGCACATTTTGACCCTCACTAGTTAACTAGTGAGACAAATACCTTCAAGTAGCTGACTGCTATGCATTTCTGCTTTTACTAGTTAACTAGTGAGCAGTTTTTGTGTCAACTAGTTAACTACTGAAGCCTAAATGTGTTCACTAGTTAACTAGTGCGCATTTCTGCTGTCACTAGTTAACTAGTGGGCACATTTTCACCCTCGATATTTAACTAGTTGACACAAACATGTCTAACTAGTTAACTAGTGGACAGAAATGGCTTACATGTTCATGACAATTCTGGCTGATATCCTGATATCAGAATAAATGCTCATTTGGCTTGCCATACATGTGTGTGTACCGAACCTGTGTGGGACTTTACGTCTAAAGTCACAAACTTACTTAAAAGTTCCAGATCATGCTATTTTAAATCTTTGAGAACAAAGGGAGGCACAAAATATGATGAAGTATTACCGTTGGCACTATTGAGATGTCATACGAGTAATTTTTGTCAGCCTGAATTTATACCCAGAAATGAAATAGTTTGTTTCAGTGAAGCTCCGCCCATGTCCGCTCCAACAAAACGTGCTAACAACAGAGTCTTAAGCCCGGTTCACCTTGTGCGATTTTTGGCTGTCTTAGCCAAATCCCATGTCCTGAGCAGAATCGTGACAAAACACGGTGAACGTGAGGGTGATTTGTATATCTGCGAACGTTCAGTGTGACCGGCTCTGCGACAGCTCAATGAGCCGTCTCACGACCCAGCTCAGCCTCAAACAGTATTCAGGCGTGCTCGGAAACCTACGACTCCTGGCTGCAATCGATCAACAAAAACACACCTTTGGGATGCCGCAGCAAGACTCCGATTCTCTGAGCTTCAGTTTCAATTTATGTTTAAAATGCTGATTATAAGCTACACACCAGTTTTTACTAATGCTGATAACACTGTTGAAACCGGAGTTATACCAAAATAATTAAACTACAGTCTTAGACCATCAGATATTGTGAATTGTGAAAACTGTGATTATATGATTCTGTGAGAGATGAGCTCACGACCATATTAAAGTTAAAAGTTAAAGTCCCATTAGTTGTCACACACACAGGTGTGTGTGCGAAATTTGTTCTCCGCATTTGACCCATCCCCTGGGGGAGCGGTGAGCTGCAGACACAGCCGCGCTCGGGAACTATTTAGTGGTTTAACCCCCCAATCCAACCCCTTTATGCTGGGTGTCAAACAGGGAGGCATTGGGTCCCATTTTTTCAAAGTTTTTGGTATGACCCGAACAGGAATCGAACCCCTGTCCTCCCAGTCTCAGGGCGGACACTCTACCACTAGGCCACTGAGAAAGGTTATCCTGAGATCCCTTTGCTGTTGGTGGAACTCTCACATATTCAACTGATAAGGATGGTTCAGTAGCGTTTTGTTGCAGAGAGACGGGAAGCTCCGCTCCGTGACAGCGGGTGAGAACTAGTCGCAGGCCTCTGATATGGAAACCTGCTCTTGTTTCTAAAAAAGGATCTATGAGAATATTAGTTATGGGTGATCTGTGTGTAGGGCCATCTGCAGTTCATAATCATCCAAGATTTACACTAGCGACACCCTTAAGTTATCTCTCTGTGTGTTTACTCCAGGAAGACTTGGGGCATTGAGAACTTTGTGTCATCCACATTACTGAGGAACATGCGGGACAAAGACCTGAAGAAGGCCATCAGCTACCACATGAAGAAGAGCCAGTCGCAGCTGGATCCCAAGCAGAAGACCCTGTCGGTCCATCGGACACGGATAACGTATCTGGAGGAGCTGAGTGACCTCAAGTGTTTTGGGGGGAAATCCTTTTCTGCCACCATGATGGTAGGAGTTGTATCTGTTTCAAGAACAGAACCAATAATGATTCAGGATGCAGGTGATGCTTAGAAGTAGGAGCCAAACCTTACCTGTGTGATGGAGGAACGAGCAGAAACTAGAGTTTAGAGGTGAATGAGGTTGAACACTGAAGCCAGAACAAGTTTAGAAAACATTTGTGAGGGTTCTCAACATCTTTACATAGTGGAAGGACCACACTTAAATGTTGCTGGAGATTTGTTTGAGCTTATTATTACACAAAACTCACCTTTTGCATCTTTTTGTGCTGCCATGAGGATCTCTACTGCCTCTATAAAAAATGAAGAAAAAATAAAAAATAAATAAAAAAAATGCCCATCTGTTCTCTTATCACTGGTTTTAAGAATTATGTACCCAAAATAAGCCGTCTCAAAATGTCCCAGTGTGAGATGTCACAAATGGGGCTATGAGTATAGAACCACCTCTCACAAGCAAAAGGGAGCTGCTGTTGCTGGAGAAGTTGAGGCTCTACTTTTAGCCTCTTGTGGATATGAGCTTCTCAGCTTATAGCAGCCTGAGTGGTGGAGGGGTGGGCGTGGCCAGCTCCATCTTGTTTTTGTAATGTAACAGAGCCCTGAAAGGCTCATTCTGGGAGGTACTGAAACTTTCGGAAAGAAAACAGCTCAAATAATTTTATTTGAAAAGAATTTAGTGCAAAACAGTGTTGTTTTCGTCAACCATGACAATGACTAAATGATTTTGTTGACACCCCTTTTTTCATAATGAAAACAAGCTAAAATATCTCTTTGCTTACTAAAACGTGACAAGATGTGCGGGACATTGAAAGTGACAAAGATTCATAACTTTCTCTGACGACTCTAGATGTCTTTTTTGCTTTCTTTTCTAGGATTTCTGTTCTAACTCCTCTTTCTTCCTCTGCCATTCCTTTGATGGTTTTCCGACTCACTCCATCAGCTCCAGGACCGAGAGTCAACGGTGACCTTGTTGGTCGGAGCGCGCTACGGGGTGAGTCAGGTGGTCAACAACAAGCTGAGCATCCTGACTAACCTGACCGAATTCAGCAACATCACACGCGTGGAGCTGCTGCCTGAATCGGACAAAGTCAGCCTTGTCAAGATTTACCTACAGGACATCAAGGTAGGACCCTAAAGAAAAGTGGGAGACCCTCTTCCTCTCATTCGAAGCCTAAGCCTCGTTTCCTTCTCCCTGCGAGAAGCCGATCACGTTACTGCTGGAGGCTGCAGCAGCGAAGGACATGTCCTGCCTCATAGCCGGTTACTGCCGCGTGTTCGTCGACCCCAGCCTCAACATCTTCACCTGGATGGATGACAAGAAGCACAGAGTGTCTGCTGAAGAAGGTAGAGTCACGGCTATTGTTGTCAGTGTTTCTTCATTTCATCATTTACTGTTTAATATAGCTTTCTTAAGCCGGGCGTACACTTTGCGACTTTTTCACTCGTAGCACTCCGCTTCAGCTCAAACTGTACGACTTCCTCGCAGGGCAGAGCTCACGAGCCATGTGCTCACACTGTACGACCCAGTTCTCGGATGCGACCTGACTGCTCACACTGTACGTCTGGTAGCAACACGTCGGACCTAAAAAATATGCTAAAATAGCTGCTTTTACACAACACGTCAGACTTTTTTGTCTTGTTTTGCCTGTTGTCCTTCGGGAGTGCTGCAGGAGGACACACAGGGATTTATGGGGGTTGGATGAGGAAAACGAAATAAAGAAAGTAAATCTGTGTTTTGTGATCAGTTTAATTTGACATGAAGACGACAAACACGCTTTCTTGACAATCCTTGTAACTGTGTGTAAAAAACGTGTAGAAATAAAAACGAACAGAGTGTGTTATTAGGGAAATAGCGGGCGAGCGGTGTTCATGCATGATTGTGCATGCGCCGTGAGCGGTTCTGGTACTTTTTGGGTTGCAGCCGCTCGCTGCGCCGCTTCAACCCTCACGAGGAACGAGCAAAATATCAAACACTCCAGAAGTCCGTGCGAGCTCACGATTGCTGATCGGTAGCTGGTCACGTGGTGTTAATCGCCTCGCGTAACCCCCTGTACACTACACGACCGCCCCGGTCTTGTGGATTTTCACACAAGTGGAAAATCGGCTCAAAAGAAGTGAAAAAGTCGCACAGTGTACGCCTGGCTCAACACTTCAGCATGACATTTTTTTTAACAAAAGTTGTTTTAAAGACCAGAAATTGGCCACTAATTTATTAGTGATCTGCCAGTGATGAGTATAGCTCCAGTAGGAGGACTACTCGGTAAATGTCCTGCTTTACTAGTCAGAGGGCTCCAAACTCCACTGCACTGTCAGTCACACACATTTACACCATGATGGTGATGAGCTACTGTGTCGCTACGGCTGCCCATGAATGTTATTACAGTGTGACGTAAATATGTCAGGCTGCTAAAATCCTAGAGTTTAATTGTCTTTTCTATGAGAAATTGCAGTAGAAAAGTGTAGGAGACTATTTTCTTGTTCAGCCTGCATGAAAAACTCAAAATGGCTGATTATAATGGGAAATAATCATTTAAAAATGGCTTTTCAGTAAAGTTGACCTTTAAAAGAACCAGAATAGAGCTCTGGATGTCACGTGACTCTCAGAAAGTAGACGCCATGTTGGCAGGCAACAATGGTAAACAAAATGAACGGGATCGGCTTGGATTTTTCTCCGTTGGAGTTTACTTCACACTTTAAAACCGAAGAAATCATTTTAAATAGTCAGAAATTAAATAGACTAAACATCTCCGACCCATACCGTGCCCCTGGGATACTTTTTAAAAACGCCAGAAGCTGTTGGAGCGGACCTGGCCAGGGAACGCCTTGGGATTTCCCTGAAGGAGCTGGCCCAAGTTAGCCTGGCAAGCCAGACTAAATAAATGTATTATTTAGTCTGGCCATGCTCCATTGACGGCTCTCGGTTGTGGGACGGGTTCTACCGTTGTCTTTCAAATGATCTTCGCATTCCACTGGACAATGAATGTGACATCCTCTTGTTTCACTCTGTTGCATCATCCCACCCACCAGGCATATAGAGTGCCCTGATTGGCCCACAAAGCGGATAAAGCTCTGTGATTTGTTCACTATGCAGATAGAGCACTATGATTGGCCCACCATTATGGACCAATCACAGCTCTTTATGTGTTTGAAACCCCTCTAGAGAGCTGTGATTGGCTAGCCAGAGTCCTGATAGGAGCTGCTGAGGTTCCAATGGAGCATGCCTAGACCAAACTTTGCAAAGCAAGAATTTGATCTAGTTCACTAGGCTAGGCCCAAGTGGCTAGGGAGAGGGAAGTCTGGGCCTCTCGACTTGGGCTACTGCCCCTGCGACCCGACTCCAGATAAGCAGATGAAAATGGATGGATGAACAAATGACAGATTTACATGTAAGTAGTTTAAATAGAGTGCTGTGCTGTTTGAATGTATAAACTGAACACCAAGAGAAATCACTAGTTTGATTTTTTCCGTGAATAAAATAAATATGTCAGGCAGGAGTGTCTCAGGATCTGTCTGAGATCTGTCTCGGTGAGACAGATAATAGCAATCCAAAGTGCTTTTTATGTGTGATCTGACAATTGATCAACCATTGCTTAAAAATGAAATACAGCTTAGCCGGTTAATTGCTGTGATCATAAGACACGTAAACGGCAGCACGCAGAACTCACGAGGCAACGTTTTACGTGATGTTTACTTGTTGCTATGAGTAATAAGACAGAAAAAGCCACGCCAAAATAAGTTTAGGAAGCCCACTAAGAATCGTATAAAAGCATTTAAAATAAATACCATACACAGTTGAGGAAACGTTGGTTTAAGTACATGATATGAAGCGGTCGCTGCATAAGCGAAAACCTTTACTCTCGGGATCCCACAGCTTCATTTCAGCCCGGTCACTAGCGCGTTTTATTACAATGATCCAATGTTTGTGGCGCTCCGGATCTTGGGGAATCCTGTAGATGGCTCATTCCTTATGTCGTCCGCGTCTGTTCTGCATCCTGGGGCACAACAGGAATCTACCATATTTCCCGTTTGACTGAGTTTTCTGACAATAACAAATAGCCCAGCTGCGGGCTTCTGCCTGCCAAGATGGCGCCGTTCGATTTGAACTGTTGCATGCCGGGAGAATTGACGTCAACTCCCGGAGCTCTATATCCCTTTAAATGTTGGGTTTTCATTGAATTATAATTAAATAAAGTGGCTTCCTTTATATCTGCTTTGTGATCAACAGCTTCTTACTTATAGACATCAATAATTAACATTCTAAACATCTCAAATAGCCTAAGATTTGTGTGACAAGGTATTGTAGGTCCTTATAGAGTCTGAAATTTCCATCAGCAGTCTATTAAAACATTCCCAACAAGAAAAAAAAACTGGTAAAAGTCATTTGCAGGCCTACATTTCTTTTTATGTCACCAAAACTTAAAACTAGAAATTTGTACAAATCTGCTCCTGTTTTGCATGAAACGTAAAGAATTCTTCAAATCTGCATAATAAATGCCTTTGTTTTAAAATGTGTATGTATTCATGTGTGTGTTGCAGGTTACGTGTCACGGCGTGCCAGTGACTCGGACGACTCATCCGACTTGGACATGGAGCCGCTGTTCAACCCAACATCTCACAGCAACAGACTTCGTGTCAGATCTTCATCAGACTCCGACGGACGGAAAAGAAGAGAGCGGGTGAGACCTAGAGGCAGCAAAGAGAAGGTAGGCGTACTTCTGGAGGTAAAGAAGACGAAGCAGAAAGATGCTGAAATGGAAAGGAAGAATCGAGAAGGCTGGGATGAAGACGCGGAAGAAACGGAGAGGGATGTCGCACAAATACAGATCCAGATGATGAATGATGAGTCGAGAGGACAAGATGGACAGGAGCTGAGAGCTGGAGGTGGAGGGGAGATGCGAGCAGCAGACGAGCAGCCATCAGAAGCATCAGATTCGTGTCAGACTGACTCTCGGATCCTCACCAGCCCTTCCAGCGACTCTCTGGATGCTCTGGAGGAAGATGATTTAATATCCTGCTCCTCTTCCTGCATCCATCCCAACTCACAAACTCACCTCTGCATTCGCTCTCCCTTCCAACGCAGCCATGCTCTGCCTCATCTCCACACTCCCCCACCTGCTCACTCTCATCCTCTTCATCGCCTCACAGCTGTCAACAGTGAAGGTGATGGCGGACAGGTGGGCAGCAGGAAGTCAGGTGATGGCGATGATCCATTCATCTCCACTTCCTCTCAGAGCCCCAATGTCCAAACCGGTTCGGGTGATCTCTGCTCAGTTGACACCTCTTTGTGTTTTGCTGAGCTCTCCCGCCTCGCCGACCTCCTGCCAAGCCCTCCTGAAGCTAGTGAGGAGGATGAAGATGAAGAGTTGAGGAGGAAGGTGCAGAAAGAATTGGGTGTGATGCTGAGAGAAGCAGGTGAGGTAGGAAGTCAAAGTCAGGAGGGTGGTGTTACAGATCACCCCGTTACTCCTTCTCCGTCATCCCCCTTGTCCTCCCAAAAAGAGTTTGTATTTAACTTTGATCAAAGCGACGCTCGCTGCTACTACAACCTCTGCTCCAACATCACCCCCGACAGCGCTCGCAGCCCTGCACGCTCCCAGGGTCTGGGTGTCAGAGAAGCCTGGGAGGAGGAGGAGCAGGAGGAGATATTGGGGGATGAGAGGGGAGATCTGGAGCCAGTCCCCATCCTCCAGCCGCCCCCTGGCTTTGGTGACAGCAGCTCAGACGAGGAGTTCTATGACGCCAGAGATCGCTTCACCTCACCTGAAGATCTGACCTCCGTCTCCGTCCAAAGAGGTGATTTAGATCCAACTGAGCAGCTAATCACAAGATGTTTCTGTCACTGTCCAGCTCAGTCCTTAGCACATATACAATGCTGTTTCTGCTGCCACCTGGTGGCTGAAGCTGGCAGATGTAGAACTATTCAGAGATGAACACTTTGACTTGAGGCTTTTATCCCAACAATGAAATAGATGATGTATTAAAGCACAACCGAACAGCGACATCTTGTGGTTAAAACTAAAAGAAACCGTTTGATCGTTAGTCAAGATGTAGAATAACATGTTTCACACTTCTTTTGTTGCAGATTGCACAGAAACGAAGCAGAACTGTGTCAGTCTGAGCGACATCAGAGTAACTGTGATGGATTCGGGTAAAGGTGAGGAAGCAGAAGTTGACAAACAACAGGACGATAAGGGAAAGGAAGGCGGAGAAACCCTTTTCCACTTCAGGAAAAGGTCAAGAAAGCGACGCTCATTCATGGAAACTGATTACACCTCCAGAGTGACCAATCCAGAACCTGATCCAGAATCTAAACACCAACTGGCTTCCGGCAGGATCCTTAAGAACATTTTGGCTGAATCCAGCAATGGCCACGTGCTTAGTTTGGATCCAGAACCCTCAGGGCAAACCCAGATTCCAAGTCCTACTGTGTCCTCACTCACTCATGCAGAAGGAGAACCAGCTCAGCTGGAGTCTAAACCCATCCTGTCCAAAGTACGCTCACATGAACCCAGATCTCTCTCTGCTTCTGACCAGAGAGAAAACACCCAATCCTCCTCCAGGGCCAGGACACAGGAGATGGAGATGGAACCGGATGCAATGGAATCCAAACCAGTTACGGATCTGATGAAGGTGGTGTCTTCTAACATCACTGTTGTCCGCTGTCGAGTTGATCCGGATGGGAAGGAGAGTGCAGATCGAAGAGGGGATGGGAAGGAGGAGCCAACAGGTGTGTTCTCTAGTCACATGTTTTTACCTGACATCCAAAAGAAGGAAGACCAGGAGGAAGAGGAGAGGAAGGTGGACAGATTCTCACCGAGGCCCCCTGTAGGAGCAGAGAGGTCACAGGAGGACACCATACCACCTGAAGGTTTTACAGAAGAATTTGTGGATAAATGTTTCCCTTTACTGTGTTCACCACCACCTCCTCCACCGTCACCCCTTCTGCCTCAAAAACACAAATCTGAAAGTGACTGTTTGATGAAGAAGGAAGAAATCCGCGACATGGAAACCTCAAAGAAACCGAAGATTTTAGGTCGTGAACAAAGTCCAGACCTTGGTTTACACCACGATAATCACATTACTGACGCCAACGTATTCACAAGCATCAACGATGAAGAAGCCATCAGCGTTCTTAAATTTAACGTCACTGCGAATGATGAAATTACAGAAAGCTCCAATTCAGACAATGTTTTCGATGACGATGATGTCGATGTTAGCAATTCTCTAAATTATGCTTCGGATGATGAGAAAGCACAATGCCACTCAACTGAAGTAGATGAAGATGATTCAAACATAAGTCGTTCTGTCGAGGCTGACTACGCTTTCGCGATAAACTCCATCACAGCGAAGCTCGGGGCTGCTACGAGCGTCTTATCTCCAACGTTTAGCTCTGGTCCCAGACTCAAAAGCGAGCTTCAGGAAACTTCCAATGAAAAAGCAGAGAAACCTAAAAGCAATTCCACCCTGTTGAGCGCTGAAGCCAAAAAGAAGTTGGCTAGTTTAATGATGGCTAAACCCAACAGTCTCTCCAAAGAGCTCTTGCCTCCTACTCACTTCCTCTTTCAGTCCTGTTCGCCGAGCATCATGGGGCGCTTATCTGCTTCGACACTTAGAGGGAAGATCCAGAGTTTACCTCTTTATTTGTCACGCTCCCACGAAAGTCTGAATCGAGCTGAAGTTGGGAGTCCTGCTGAGGATGCTGATCGTGATGATGCAGATAGAAAAATGTCAGATGTTCACAGCGCTGATCCAACTCTTGACTTGGAGATGGACACGGAAGCTGACCTGGTCGAGTCGGATGATTCAGACGCAACGGTGACAGGATCTGAAGTGGACAGGGAGTCTGGTTTTGAAATAATGCCAGAAAAGAGTTCTCCTTTTGGGTCAGAGATAAAAGAAGAAAGCTTCGAGCAGCCAGTACAGACTGAGCCCAAATCCCAACAGCAAAGTTCTTTCTCCAGTTACAATAAGAACACACCAGGACCAGTAACGGAGCCTCCCACCTCCACAGCAAGCCTGCTTCAGAAAGATGCCATCGGCCTGAAGGAAGACACTCCTGGACCTATCAAAAGTTCTCCAGAACTGAACACCAAAGTAAACAGTTTACAGAAAGACAATCCAGGGTTTCATTTTAGCAGTCAGTCATCTTCTGCTCCATCACAAATAGTGGTGACTACACAAAACCTGAATGGACCTGGACTTTCTTTTCATGGTCAGTCCCAAATAGTAAAAAGTGCCAGTAGTGACAGGCCTTTGTTAGGTTTCTGTAGACCTTCAGACACGAATTCAGACTCACCAAAGACATCTTCAGGAGGATGCAAAGTGTTTACCATTTGTGAGGATTTGACCCAATCAAAGACTGCAGTCGACTTGGGGTCTCCTCCACTCCTGAAGTCTGAGATTGGTTGTGGTTCTGTGCTTGCATCCGGGTGTGAGACTTTTACAGATGGTGTCCAGGTACCGCTGGATGCTTGTGGCTGTCCCACGGTTTACTCAAACTGCTTCGGCGGTGAGAACAGCTTTGATGAGGAGCTGACAGTCTACGAGTTCTCCCGCCGTTCCCAGAACAGTGGCACTCGCCAGACTCCTGAACCAGGTCTTCATCTCATAACATCTCCTCCTGTTCCTTCTTTTATCCCCACCTCCTCCACCCACTCACCTTCATTCCCGCATCCCATCCTTTTCTCCTGTACCTCAGAGCTCAGCCCTCTTCTCTCACCACAGTCAGACAACTTGAACTCATACATGTCTCAAAAGCACAAGGACACAATCAGTCATCTGGGTCAGCAGCGATACCCCAAACCTCCGGCAGGTTTCCAAGTTCTTCGCAGGGACGTGGACACGCTTCTTTCTATTTTGGAAGGTAGCGGTGCTGACCGATCTGTGACGGGACATGGAGGCCGCCACCCAAGGGACACCTGCCCAGCGCACTTTACAGAGAATAAAAGACTTCTCCAGTTAGAAGCACGTCGGTTGATGTCGGGCTGCCAGGAGGTGGCAGGAACTGGACAGGGCCCAGAGGAAATGCTTCACTCCTTGGCAGACAGCTTCCGGACCCTGGTGGAGCTGGCCGGCATCTGTCTCTGGTTCTCTGGTTGTGACAGGTGTGACCGAAGGAATACAGAGGCAGTGGCAGGTCTGGTCGACGTGGCTCGCTCATTCAGGGACTTCTGTCTGGCGGCAGAGCGAGTCAGTGGCAATCGTAGCTGCCAGGACCTGAGCACCAAGCTGCTTGCCAAACAGTGTACAGCACTCACCGCCTCCGTGTTTTGCCTCACCCAGCTGTTCCGCACCCTCACCTCACTGTGAGTGGGCCACGACCTTCTGAAGCCCCCCCACCCGTCCCCACATCTTCAGGGCCTCTGAACGAGGGCAAGTGCTAACTAGGACTCAGTGTTAAGGAGCCATGTTTTATACTGTTTACAAGACAGAGAACCTACCTAGAGGTGCATGTGGTGACTGTTGATGCTGCACAATCCAGACCATCATCAGCGTGGATCTGTAGTATTTATAAACCGATGTACTTGAATGTATCTTTATGTATCGAGCTTATACATTTATCCAGTAATTTATCGAACAGGTTGCTATGTTTGAAGAATCCAATGATCTCAACAGAGGAACAAATGTTTACAGACATTTTCATACTTAGGCGAAGCAGCATGCCCAAGTATTTACACACCATCCTGAGTTTGACCGCAGGTTTTATTTACGGTAACCGACAACATTATGAAGACTTGACTCTCAGGAGTTTTTAACGTAAAGGCAACTGGACTTATTTTACCTTTTAATCCAAAATTATAATTCGGTACCAGACTTTTAAGGTACTGTAGAACAATTAGTGATAGTGCCGCCACCGTTACACAGGGTCACTGACCCACCCCACCATCGTGTGAGTCGTAGTGGGCCGATATCGACAGCTCGCATAACACAGTGGCGGGTTTGTGACTCTTGTGACCTCAATAGTGTGGTTGTTCAACAACACCTTAGAAGTCCAGTTGCCTTTTCCTTTTTATTCCTGGGATTGCCACGTGGACGAAGGAGAATCCAAATAATAGGACTTGTGTTTATTCTGTATCTTTACACTGGCTCAGGCTGTTTGAAAGGACTTTTTTGAATGTTACTGTTTACAAAACCAAAACTGTCGCGCAAAGCTGTTGGATCAAACGAAGCCTGAAGCTGAATGCTGACGTGTGTGCATTATGTGATTTTAGGAACTGCTCATTCTAATGAACTGTGTTCACTTCAGTGCATATTTGCACACACCTGTGGTATTATTTATGGATATTTTTCCACCTGCAGATAGACCAATCCTTCATGTGTCTAGGAATATTGCTTTCAATCCTGTTTCTCTTCTTTTTTGCAATCTTAATTTATTTTTCTAATTAGCAAAAACACTATGCACTGAGATCAGGAACTGTCAGACCATAGGAAACAGTAAACGTTTGATATTTGTCTTTTGGTCTGTAGGTTTGAGGGTTTTAAAATTCTTGAGGTTTAAATGTTATTTTGAAGGTTGTAAAAGGCTACACCAAGTGCTTTCTTATTACAGATGACGACAAATAGTAAAGATGACCTGATATAATCAAAAAAAAATCTCAAAGTGAGCGTAAACACTCTTGATTTTTCATTTCAGAGCTTACTTAAAGGTGTGGTTCACTGATAAGCCTTTTTAAATGATCCATTAATCTATTTTCAGCCCCTTATCCTTAGTCGGGTCACGGGGGCAGCAGCCTAAGCCGAGAGGCCCAGACTTCCCTCTCCCCAGCCACTTGGGCCAGCTCTTCCAGGGAAATCGTAAGGCGTTCCCTGGCCAGTTGAGAGGCATAGTCACCCCAACGTGGCCCGGGTCTTCCCTTCCCAGTTGGGTGTTTCATTTAGGCTGAAGATGAAAATAGTCTCCTACACTTATCTCCTGCATAAGCGTGATTAGACGATAAGTTAGAAAATCCTGACAGATCCACGTCACACTGTCACTGAACATTCATAAACTCACTCATCTTGTTTCACAACAGGGAAGCCTGTTGTTGGTTTAGCGTCCAGGAAACAGCAGAGAACGTCTTGGCTCGCAGAGGCTAACCGCTAGCCTTAGCAACTCCACCACACAGCAGGACTCCTCCAGACTTGTGTTATTTGTGGAGATCCGCATTGCAAAGCAAACAGAGTCAGTGGTAAAGTTGAGTTGTTGTCAGCCAGTCAGAGGTGAGATGTCCAAATATTAGGAAATAATATTCAAAATCCAACTGTCTAACGCTTAACACCGATGCGGCTCACTTCTGGTTCCTGAAACTGGTGAACTGGAGCTTTTTTCCCCAGACTGCGACTTAGAAGGCATTCATTCTTACTAGAGACCACTGTAGCTGTATTGATTAAACAAACGAACCACATCTTTAACAGCTAAAACGTATCTACACCCTCTTGTCAGAGTTTAATTTGTCGAAAACGTCCAACGTTTTCTGTAAAACAAACTTGCTTATGAGATATTTTGCTGCAGCATTTTCACTTGGAATGTTCTGTTAAATGACCTAACGTGCATGTTGACTGGAGAAACATTTAGTATATTTGCCTGTTTTTCAGTTTGGGGAACCATGTACTGCAAATTTTTGTTTTGATTTAACCATTTTGTTCCATTTGGTTGTATGGGAATCATGCAGATGATTCCCAACGAATCCACTTGTCAGTCCTTTGTGTAAAGTTGCCTCAATCAAATGGAGCTCCTCCTGTTTAAAGGATCTGTGCTCACAACGCATGCTGTTATAGGCCATGATAACATGCAGTTTTCTCATCAGGGATTTTCTTTTTGAATGGCAATCTCTGTTGATGCTTTGTAATGCTCAACTACTTCCATTAAATTTAATTTTAACAACTTAGTTTTAGAATTTCTTTATTGCATATTTAGCTAAACGCTCATCAGAATAGATTGGGCCAGCTCAAGGTGTTTAGTGGCCAGTCGAGAGACATGGTCCCTCCAGCGTGTCCTGGGTTTTCCCTTGGGTTTTCTCCCAGTTGGACATGCCCGGATAACCTCACCAAGGAGGCGTCCAGGAAGCATTACTAGATGCCTGAGCCACCTCAACTGGCTCCTCTCAATGTGGAGGAGCAGCAGATCTACTCCCAGCCCCTCATGGATGACAGTTTCTCCCCCTATCTCTAAAGGAGAGTCCAGACACCCTGCGGAGAAAACTAATTTCAGCCACTTGTATCCACAATCTCATTCTTTCGGTCACTACCCAAAGCTGTGAACGTAGGTGAGAGTTGGTAAATCGAGCTTTGCCTTCCGGCTCAGCTCTCTTCACCATGACAGATCATGACAACGCCCGCATCACTGCAGACACCACCAATCCACTTGTCGATCTCACGCTCCATCTTTCCCTCACTGGTGACCAAGAGATTCCTCCGCTTGTGGCAGGACCTCGTCTCTGACTTGGAGAAGGCATTCAACCCTTTTCTAACTCAGTTACAAAGATTTATTTTTGGTGGCTTTAAGTTTAAAATTCACTATAATTTTTCTCCTATAAGCAAAAGTAGGCATATATAACTAGTAACTGTCCTTGTAAGTATCACATGTTGATTAAAAAGAATATTTTTCCAACCACGTTTAGTCTTCTAGCTGCTAGCATTTTCAGAGAGACTCGTAGTCCTGGAGCTTCTGGGTTTATTTTCAAGAGAATGTATGGCAAGTAGATTTATCACATCAAATTACACAGGATCTTCGGGATATTCCTAATTCAATTGTTTATAGCCTTCATCAGATCCGTAACTGCATGGTGGTCCAGTTGGAAATGTAGCTCACTTCTACTTCCTGAAACTGGTGCACCGGTGCTTTGTTTCCCCAGAGTACGACTTACAAGGCATTCATTCCTACAAGAGACTATTTTAAATGTATTAATTAAACTAGAGCCACACCTTTAACTCATTCACTGCCATTCACGACAACAGTTGTCATTTTAAACCCAACCGTCCACTGACTACGTTTACATGCAGCCAATATCCGGGTTATGATCGGGTTAAAGTCGGGATTCGGGTTTCTGAGTTGATCAGAATAACCCGTTTACAAGCATAAATAGAAAGAGTTACCCCTAACTTGCATAACCCAATATAAATGCGGACGTTGGGGTAGCGTCAGGACGTATGAACTACGTCCAGATGCAATATCGTCATTTCCGGTTCTTCTTGTTCCGGTATCCGTGAAAACAACATGTTTCTTAGTTTGGAAGAGATAGCGACCGCGTTTGTTTGCGCTTTAGTTTCCTCATCACTCCAAAAGTGTGGTGCTGTACCGCGACTCGCCATGTTGCTCCCAACTTGTTTACTTCCGGTGTTCTGGCGCATACAAGACGTCTCGCTACTCAAAAGACCAAGATTCTTTGTGAACAGAGCATGCGCAGAACACACGCTTTGATGGGGATATCCCGGTATGCGTTTACACGACCAAACATTCGGGTTAGAAAAGGGTTACCCCAGGTGTTTATGAGCATATCCGGGTTTTTGGCGGTGTTTACAAGGATCTGCGGAACCGGGTTATTGTGAATATTCGGGTTTTAAAAGGGTTACTGGCTGCATGTAAACGCACTCACTACCAATGACGACAAAAGTCGTCAATGATGACAAAAGTTGTCATTTGCATTTTTTTACTGTGGGGTGTCGGAACGAGCCCCCACACCGTGAAAACAAACATCCGCATATGTCACACGTCACGCGATCAGGACACAGAAAATCCATGTGTTAGGAGATCATTTTGGGCCGCTGCTGTAAAAAAAGTGAGGCGTGAACCGGAAAAGCTTCTGCCGATCACAATTCAACAATGGATTATGAAAGAATGAATAACGCTCGAAACACGTGGATTCTTCCTGATGTAAGAGGTGAGTCTACTCTTTGTTTTGGTAGTTTGGGCATCGACATCATCCTAGTGTGCAACGTTCTGTGGCTAATAAAAAAACAGAAAAAATGCTGGCAGCGAAGGGCTTTACTGATCAGGAAACGGCTGGCTGTGAATAAGTTAAAGAGATAACCTGTGTTAAAATCTCTTTAGTGTTGCTCTAAGAAAATAGTATGTAGCTGGCAACGCCCACCCCTCCCCCACTCAGACTGCTATGGGCTGAGAAGCTCCGACATCAGGACGGACTTGGAGTAGAGCTGCTGCTCCCCCAGCTTGGACAGATGAGAGGTGGTTCTATTCTGTTTTTATTAACTGTTTTATGCACATAATTCCTAAAACTAATGACCTATAGAAAACTGCTTTTCATGCTTGGGGTGTTTATAGAGACAGTAAAGACCTACATGGTGGGACAAAAGCAAACAAAAGGTGAGTTTTGCATAATATGTCCCCTTTAATATTATTAATGAAAAGTTTCATGGTGGTGTAGACACAAAACTACGTCATATTAGAACTTTTCTTTAAATGGTCATACTGGCATGATTACTCAAAACTTGGTCATTTATCCTCTACCGTCAAGACAAACTTAAGGAGTTTGGTGTTGTTTTTGACCAATCAATGTCTCTTGAAGGCCTCTCAGAGTCACTGGTGTGAAACTGTTTTTATTAAGAAATATCTCCAAACTGCAAAGGTTGGTGTCAAAACATGAACTTGAAATGGTTATCCACGCCTTTATCTCCTCCCATCTACATTACTGTAACATACTCTTCAAATGTTTTTTTAAAAAAAGCACTTGACTGCCCTGAGTTGGTCCAGAACTCTGCACCAAGGCTCCTGACTGGAGCAACCAGAAGAGCACACATCACTCCTATTCTAACGTCGATGCACTGGTTACCCATTAACTTTAGAATCCTGACTATAACTTTCAGGGCTCTACATGGTCAAGCTCCTCCCTATATTACTGAACTGCTAAAGCCTTAAGCTCCAACCCGAGCCCTCAGGTCCACACACCAGAACCGTGTGAATGTTTCAAAGACCAGATATAAAAGTCGTGGTGATCCCTCCTTCCAGACTGTTGCACCCCGACTTTGGAATGATCTTCCTTTATCCTTACGCAGCGTTGACAGTCTGGACACTTTTAAATAACAGCTAAAGACCCTTTTTTTAAAAGCTGCGTTTACCTAAATTTTTTATTTTCTTATTTTTAACTCAAATTTTATTTTTTCTGATATTGATCTATTTCTGTTTTGAGATCATTATGATTTTATGACTGTTTTATTTTTGTTTTGATCTATGTGAAGCACTTTGTGATTGTATGTATGTGATAAGTGCTATGTAAATAAAATATACTTACTACTTACTTGCTTACCATTATTAGTTTAATCCTCTTGGTAGATACTTATTACTGATCTTTTGTGTCTAATAATAGGTGCTAATATAAATGTATTCCCCAATTAAATCTAAAATAACAAATTTGCAAAACAAGCTAGCTTAAGGAATTGTTTTTCATGCATTTTAACACTTCTAATACAATATAGCCATAAACATTTTCTGGAAAAAAGTAAAAAAAAATGGAAACAAAAAAATAAAGTGGTTCTCGCATTTGTCTAAAAACCTCAGCCAATAACACGGCTCGAAATGAAACCAACTTTGGACCATCCAGTCGTGTGTCTCACTGAACCATCACACTTTCCTGGGTCCTCCATTCATTACAGGATTGCACATTTTGCAGCAGATCACCACTGATGTGAGAGGTTCTCTGCTCAATAATGTCAAAGGAGAAATAGTCGGCTGCTACCACTTCAACTTTAGGACAAACTACCAAAGTCCCAAAAAGAAAAACACCATTTGAAGTGGCGGAAATCAAAAAACATTTAGAGCTGGAAATCAGTCCCTGGTGTTGAGTGCTCTCTCGCTCAACACCAGGGCGATGTGTGTTCCGATATCAGGAGGGTGTGGCCTAAGGATGACAGCTGATGGGAGAGGTGAGAGTTCTGTGACCGTGTTTGTTTTTAAAAGCTATTGTCGTGGAGTGGTGTGGTGAGGCAGAACCCAAATGAAGGTGGAACACAGGCAGGAGGCAGTCAGGTACATAAAACTACAGATGTATTAACAAGGGTGCAGCACGAAGTGAACAAACCGACAGGACTAAAACAAGTGAAGATCCAACACCGATATGAGACACAGAAGGGCTTAAATATACAACAGACATCAGGAACAGGTAATTCAATTAGACAGGAGGAACAGCTTGTTTTGCAGATATTTACAGTTTTTCTCAGTTGCTTTGGTGCATTTCTCACAACAGAATTGATCTCTGCACCACTACTACGGCTCTTCTCAAAACAATTAGTGCAAACTGCAAAACATGGTGGATAACTTGCTAAAGTGAGTCTTTTCGTCAAAAAGAAAAGTCAGTTGCTCAAAATAAGTTGTCAATGCTTCAAAAGCAAGTCCCTTAATCAAAACAGATAATATATTCATCAAAAGCAAGTACTTAAATCAATCAAAGTGTCAGGGCTGTCACAATTACAAGTCATTTCACCAGCACTCAAATGGTTTGAACATGTTCTCATTATGACGGATTTCTTTGTAGGTGCTTCCCAATGACATGTCAAGTGTGGACAGCATGCATGGCATGTTGAAAACCATAAATTGTAAAGGAAAATCAAGACCCTTCATATGCACTCTTGATAATATTTAATTGAAACTGTTCACAGCATTGTGCGACTGGGGAAATACAGTAAAACAAACGTTTTACAGCAAACATAAACTCACTTAGACAGTAAGCCTTACTGCAGTAGTTATGAAACAAAAAAATAAACTGAACAGACACGGCTGCATATCAATCATGGATATCTAGATGCTCCCGTCTATCTGCCCACATATTTTCATCCACATCACAGGGAATGTCAGCTCTATCGATGCATCGGGGAAAGTGTCTTCTGGAGTTTCGCATCCACCCTCTGCAGGACTCTGCTGTGATGTCATCACAAGCTGCATCCATGGCTGCTAGCAGGGCCATTTGGGTATGTGGATGCCTGTCATATACCTTCCACCTCCAGGAAGAGAAAAACTCCTCAGTTGGATTTAGGAATGGAGTGTAAGGAGGAAGAAAGTCCATCCGCATGCTGTCGTGTGCTGCAAACCACTGCCTGACTACAGCAGAGTGATGGATCATCCCAAACCACTACATACATTGTCCAATTGTCACCAGGACACACACCAATTTTCATTAGTGTGAGATAAGGTTCACCTGAGAAAAGTAATTTATGGAGATTTCCATGGAAACTCCTTAAAAATAGGGTTTTCAAAATGGGTGTACAAAGTGTTTGACAAGATGTTCAACAATTTTGAGTGCAATGACACAAAAAATGAAACGAAGACTATTAGTTGTAAGGACAATGACTATTCAGCTGGTACAAGTATAAATAATTGTGACATTCATGATAAAAGCAAGGAGATAGTGATGAATAGCAAGTCAAAAGTGACCATTCTTTACACATTTGTACTTACTTACAGTTTTTATCAGTCGCTTTGGTGCGTTTCTCAGATCAGAATTAAAATTCTCATAACTATTAGTTCAACCTCCACAACATTTAGTCATTTGTGCACATCATAGTAGCAATTTCTCCTTTCTCTGAACAAACAGCAAATGATTTTGGACATGTACCAGTTGCTTTCATACATTTCTCTGCTGTTTTTTTGACATTTCCATTTGCTTATGTCATGTCAGTCAAAATGAATTATACTTATGGATGCTGAATCACTCTCAATAAAACTAATAGTCTTACTTTCATTGCTTGAGTCATTACACACAAAATTGTTGAACTAGTTATCAAATGTCAAATTTCAGTCATCTGTCAAGCAAATTCTATACCTTTCTTTATCTTTTTATTCTGGAAATGTCTCCTAAATTGAACAATTGATCACAGGTGAATTTCATCTGTCACTCATGAGGAGGTGTAATCCAATAGAGGAGTTTTTCTCTGCCTGGAGGTGGAAAGTTTACTGTATGACCAACATCCACATGAGCAAATGGCCCTGCTAGCAGCCATGGGTGCAGCATGTGACAACATCACAGTAGAGTCCTGCAGAGGATGGATTCGCCACTCCAGGAGATACATTCCTCGCTGCATTGCGGGGGACGACATCCGCTGTGATGTAGATGAAAATATGTGGCCAGACAGACAGGAACGTCTGGATGTGCCAGAATGATTTACTGTACCTGTATGTTACAGTACTGTGCAATACTGTATGTACTGTTACATGTACTGTATATTGTTCACATTTGTGCACAGCTCTACCAAAAGGGTGATTTTTTGTTTACATGCATTCTACAGTAAACAAGTGACTGTAGCATATTTTTCTTTTGCACAATGCTGTAGAATTACAAACACTTCTGTACAGTAAAAATGTAAAACGGACGTATTCAGTGTCTCTGTCACTCCCAAAACTCCCATAACATCTACAGTAACTTTACTGCACATTTCAAATGGCTGTACAAGTAGGGCATAGTGCTGTCTTGAGCATTTTCTGGTGTCACCAAATATTCTTGCAATGGAAAACACTGAAATTATAAACTGTCATAGTGAAAACATGACAAAGCCATTTGACTATCTTGTTCATAAAGATGGTGTCAAGACTTTTTATTTTGATGGCACTGACAGTTTCATTGACATGAATACTTGCTTTTGAGGAATGGATTATCAACTTTGAGCATGTGACGTGCTTTTGCAGGCTATCCACTAGGTTTTGCAGTTTGCACTAATTGTTTTGAGAAATGCACTAACTGCTGTGCAAATGTTAATAGTGTTCTGAGAAACGCACCAAAGCGACTGAGAAAAACTGTAACTGCTTCATGTCCAAAAAAATTTGAAATGAACATGAAACCGCCACTAGGTTGTGCTAAAACGACTACATGTTGTGGAGGTTGAACTGTTGTGCAAAGTTTCATTCTGTTGTGAGAAATGCACCAAAGCAACTGAGAAAAACTGTAAGCTCAAATAATTTTATAAAATTTCCCTAAACACAACATACACGAGGAACATACCTGGGGGTTATTTTAGTTGGGTTAGTATTTGAATCATTACGAGGATGAAGAGGAGGAGGAGGGTCACTCTGGGAAGTTTTCTTTCTACAAGGCTTCATAAACAGATCATTAGAGCTTTATTTCACGTGTCTCAACTGTTTAAACCCAGCTTGTATGTTTTTCTGGAGGATTTTGTGTCTGATATGTTTTTTTCAGGTCGTTTCACAGCTGATGGTCTTCCTGATCAGTATCATCAGCGTGCTGTTCTGCGGTCATCTGGGGAAAACTGAGCATGCAGGAGTATCTCACGCCGCTGCGGTGAAGAAGCTTGAACTCTCCTGGGAACCTTCTCCCAGGCTTTTGCTTGTTCTTGATGTGATTGCATAATTTAGGTTATCGGTTCTCCTGTAGGTGGTTAACGTCACTGGTGTTTCCGTTGGCACCGGTTTAGCGACCACCTGCGACACACTCATATCTCAGGTAGAAGTTTTTTCTGTGAGCCGCTCAACGACATCCACTTTATTTATTGTTGTTCCACTGTTTGTTTGTTTTCGTGTTTGATGCAGACATATGGGAGTGGTAATCTGAAGTGAGGGGTTTTCCAGAGGGAGGTTCTGATTTCTCCTCAACCCTGAACCTATTTTACTTGCTGTCAGAACCCAGAAGTCATCAGGTGCCTTTATAGGTCTTAGAAAGTACAGGAAATCATCTTTGTGTTGTTTGATACTGATTCGTTCCACATTCCACAGGTGTTTGTTTTTCTCATTGAAGTCTCTCACAGCTATATGTGAAGATCCTCATGTGTGCTCTTCCTGTAACTTTGATGCTTCCTTCATCTGAAATTTTACCGGATAATAAAAAAAATGTCTATCCATAGCAGATCTTATAAGTAGGTAGATGAAAGCATTCAAGCAAGCTACATTTTGAAAAAAAGAAGAAAAAAAGACACTATTTAAAGGTCCCACCCCCTTTTCAGGCCCCACCCCCAATAAGGAATGAGTCTTTTTACAAATGCTGTTCACAATTTGTTACCAGCAGCTGCAGCCCAGTAAGATTCTGGCTTTGGGTTTGGAAAGTTTCAAGGTTTAGATTTTCTACAGAGCACTGTTTGGAGAGAAAAGACCAAAGTGGAAATGTTAACCCATAATGCACCGCAGCCCATTTGAGAAAACCAAACAGCTAACACCAGCTGTCAGCATGGTGGTGGAGGGCTGATGGTTTGGGCATCATGGACTTGGTGTCAGCATCACCAAAAATGCCATCAGCTGCATTTCCTCCTCAAACCAGTAGATTTTCTCTCAAACTTGAACTTTATTCTCCTGACCTTTGATTTTCAGTTCATCACATGTGATGTGAGCAGAGTTACTGTAGGGCCTTCTTTCTCTTCTGGTCGTCATAGATTGACTAAATAGCTAAAATTTAACTGTGTTGTTTTACTGATCCTCTGAAATTTAACAGCTCTGAGTTAAAGACAGTGATGTTTTACAAACCTGTGAAACTTTCTAGCTGATTGTTTCTGTCTGATTATGCTCTAAATGTGATCTGAGATCAGTTTAGTGTATTACAGTTTTTCTCAATTGTTTACACACATTTCCTGAAAGCATGCCTCATAATCTCAGAACTCTACACACAAATCCAAAAATACACACACAATGGGCAAAACCCCTCACTTAACCTGCAAAATGAAACTTCACATTCAAAACAATGTTATTTCTCCTCAAAAATGTGATTTTGTTGTCAAATGACACACAAACCATCATGTGAATAGACATTTATAAGAACCAGCAGAACACTTATGTGCTCAATGTTACGTAATGATAAAATGTCAGCTCAACACTGATCCTGTAGTGAGAAACAACATTGATCGTTAGCTGAATAATGATTTTTCTCCACACGATTAAATAGTTTCAAACTAAAACAAATCTAGTTCGGCATCTTTTTAGGGACACAATTCAGCGGTTTGCAGATGTGATGCTGATGTTTGCTTTCATGCATGTCAGCAACGCCATGCAGTGAGAAGCATCACTTTATTTTGTTCAAAAAGAAGTGAAAATGTGAACCCTCACAGATGTTTTGCTAACTTTAGGGCATGGCTGCAGAACAGCTGATCTCGATTTCAGCTGATCGTAACTCTCAGAACCCTGCAGGAAACCAGTTTTTTCTTTTTCTGTGAACATTTTGATTGTGCAACTATTTGCCACACCTCTCTAACAAGTAATAAACAACAAAAAGCTGAACGTGATGAAGTGATTTCATTAAAATTACCATTACTATCTTACCCATTGAGGATAGATTCCTGCCTCTGTTGGAAAAAAACATACCGTTTCTGTCCCTCAGGGCATTTTAAAAATCTTCCCAGCAAGATTTCCCGAAGTAAAAGAAATGACCCAGAGATGCTGCTGAGAGTTGGATGTCTAGTTTATGTTTGCTAAGGTTGATTAGCTTTCGTGGCCATTTTCAGTACGGTTGACTCCAAAAGTTAATCAGTGATGGACGAACATCCAACTGAAAACATTCTGTTCCAATAGAGGACAGTCTTGCAAGAAAGGCTTGAATGGCTTGTCATAATTCTTATCTGGTACATCTACAAAGATCAACATGTAAATTAATTATGAATGTGTGGTTTTGAGGGGAATGGGCGTGCAGATTTAAGGCAGGATCAGTATTAGTGAACTTGAACGCAGCATGGCAGCACCACCCCACTCAGCAGCAGGAGGTGGTTGGTTCTGAGGACACGGGTCCAACCCTCCTCTTAGTCCCACATCCAGATCACGTTTCTCAGTCTGCTCAGAACTCAGTCCGGACTTGGGTATGGACACTCCTGGGAAAGCAGAGGTCACACAGACTGAGACAGAGAAGGTGAATCCAAAATCGAGTGAGCAGGACCCTGGTAGGTGTTGGAGCTCCTGCCTGAAGAGAATACAGGCCTGGGTACCCCAGAAGTACCAAGATGAGCTGACACAATTGCTTAAACTGGCGGGGCCGGTGGTAAGACTGTCTTTGTCTCTGTGTGACATACTATCAGTAATAAATACTAATGCGTCTATTCTGATTTTGAGTACTGATGTCAGTTTGTGATTTTTATTTATATATTGATGGGTTTTTACTTTGGAAAGGAAATTTAAAAATACCAACATTTTGTTAAATGGTTCAAAAAAATTCAGGAAATGAAATATTTTAAAACTAAAATGCTAAACATAAATCAAGTAAACAGAATACAATATAATAAACTTGTACAGCTCTGACACTAGAATCCTCACCAACAAAAGAATTATCACCCGGATATAATATTTTAAATGTCTGATTGCCTTTAAAATTATTATTCTAAAAATAGTAAAAGTATAATTGTTTGTTATTAGTTGAACTATTTTCACCCACACTTGGCATTCTGACTGGAACATAAAATTTAATTTAGCTGTTTTCATTTATCTGTGTGTGTGTGTATATCAGGTGTATGTATATATATATATATATATATAGGCTATGTATATATATATATATATATATATATATATATATATATATATATAGGCTATGTATATATATATATATATATATATATATATATATATATATATATAGGCTATGTATATATATATATATATATATATATATATACATAGCCTATATATATATATATATATATATATATATATATATATATATATATATATATATATATATATATATATATATATATATATATATATATATATATATATATATAAGATAGACAAAACAGAAATTGTACAAATCTCCCAAAGTTTTTAATATTCACATGTTAAAAAATACATTTCATATAAAACTGGTTGCCCCCAACTGAGGGCCAGTGCACCTGTGAGGTCCTCTAAGACCACCACTGCACCCAAAGCCATTATTATTATGTTATTTATTCATTTATTTACTTTTATTCTATAAATTATTTTGTTAGAAGAAAAATAACTTTTTCATGGGTGGTGTGTATATTTCTTGTATAACTTTATGGAGATGCAGATTTCGGGGCAGCAGTAGCTCAACAGGTTGAGCGGGTTGTCCAGTAATCGGAAGGTTGCAGGTCCGATCCCGGCTCCAGACAGAGAATTCTGCTGTTGTGTCCTTGGGCAAGACACTTAACCCACCTTGCCTGCTGGTGGTGGTCGGAGGGACCGGTGGCGCCTGTGCTCAGCAGCCTCGCCTCTGTCAGCGCGCCCCAGGGCAGCTGTGGCTACATTGTAGCTCATCACCATCAGTGTGTGAATGTGTGTGTGAATGGATGAATGATGCACTGTAGTGTAAAGCGCTTTGGAGTCCTTACTCTGAGAGGCGCTATACAAGTGTGGGTCATTTATCATTTCATTTTCCAGGACCATGGTATTCTTAATCTTGATTGGCCAGCAAACTCACCTGACCTTAATTAACCCCATAGACAATCTATGTGGTATTGTGAAGAGGAAGATGCAACATGCCAGACCCAACAGTTCAGAAGAGTTAAAGGCCACTATCGGAGCAACATCATAACACCTGAGCAGTGCCACATTGCTGCAGTAATCCAGGCCAAAGGAGCCCCAACTAAATGTTCATATTTTTCATTTCTACATTTCTAAAACAACTCTTTTTGCATCGGTCTAAATTGGCATTGTAATATTCTGAATCTGAATTTTTGATTTACATTAGTGGTAAATTATAATCATCAACATTAAAAGAAATAAACATTTTGAATGCATCAAATATACTAATATAAAAGTTTCACTTTTTGAATGGAAATTTTTATGATATTCAAATGTTACTTGCAGCCCCTGTGAATGCAAAAGTGAACTTAACCAACAGCTAATAAAGTAAAATAAGGGAAATTTTTTTAATAGATTTCTTGTAAAATATCAAATGTCATCATGTTGAAATAATGTATCTGGTTAGGTTGATGGTGATGATGACAATGATGATGAAGATAACCATAATATGATGTTGATGTTAATGAAAGTGATAATAATGATGATTTTGATGCGGATGATAGTGATGATGATGAAAGTGATAATGCTGCTGCTGCTGCTGCTGATGGTAGCAAGGAGGATTATGGTGGCAGTGATGATGATGATGATGATGATGATGATGATGATGATGATGATGATGATGATGATGCTGATGGCAGTAATGATGTAGCCTGGCCTGCCAGGAGCTGAGTTCTGGGTGTAAAGGGGAAAGAATTTGATTTGTGTTATTATTATTATCATTATTATACAAATGATTAACTCATATAAGCTGAAAACAGCCACTCTTATAAAAGTCCAGGCTTGGCACAGAACGGCCTTGAGAAGGGAACGGTTTGTTGACACTTTGTTATCATGTGTTGCGAGCTGCAGAGCCTGGGCTGATGGATTAACAGGGTCCGGCAGATTAAAAGCAACAAATGCAGACTCCTGTCTCCATGTCAACCAGATACTGAAGGGGTCAAACTGTACATGAAAACTGACCATTACTGGACATTACAATGATTTTTGGTAACAGGAAGACAGATTGTTCATAGATGGTACTTCAGTTGAAAGAGTAAATGAAGTAAGGTTTTTAGGGGTCATCTTGGATCATACACTTAATTGGAAACCCCATATAAAATATATAAAATAAAAACTGTGTAAAAGTATTGGACTTTTAAATAAAGAGTCTTTTGGAGTCATCAACACTTCATATATTATATTATTCATGTATTGTTCCATACTTGACTTATTGTATAGAGGCTTGGGGCAACATATATAAAACAAACACTAATCCTTTGTTTTTATTACAGAAGAAAGCTACGAGAATTATATATAAAGTAGAGAACATACTAATAGACTTTTAATTGAATCAAAAATTATGAAATTCAGGGATTTGGTTAATTTGAAAACTTTACTAATTATGTTCAGGGCAAAATAGAGGTTACTGCCAGTGAAGTTACAGAAGGTTTTTGTTTTGATTTCAAATGATGGAAAAAATAAAAAGAAGCCTGAGTTTAAAAGAGTTTTGGCACGAACAACATTAAAGCACATGTGTATTTCAGTATATGAAGTAAAATTATAGAATAATCTGGATCATGACCTGAAAAAATGTTTAACTACTGATCAATTTAGGAGACTATATAAAGAAAAAATCATAGAATCCTATGATGATAAGTAAATATTGAATACGTATATTGATAAGTTTTATTGTGATATCGTTTGCAAAGATAAGGAAGTTCTATACTTGGTTTGTGTATGAGAACATTCTGTGAATTATATTGTATGAAAGAGAACGGGGTAGGTCATATAAGACTTCTTCTTCCTCCCCCTTTTTTTCCACTTAGGAGACTGTTGATGATTGTATTTTGTATTAATGATGAATGAAACTGCTGAGTGAGAAAATAAATTAACAATTAACCAATGACGATGATGACGATGATGATGATGATGGCAGTAATGATGATGGTGATGATGGTGGCAGTAACGATGATGATGGTGATGGCAGTAATGATGGTGATGATGGTGGCTGTGATGATGATGATGATGATGATGTAGCAGTGATGATGATGATGATGATGATGATGATGGTGGTGGTGGTGGTGATGGCAGTAATGATGATGGTGACAGTGATGATGATGAAAGTGATGATGATGTTGGCAGTGATGATGATGATGATGTAGCAGTGATGATGATGATGATGATGATGATGATGGTGGTGGTGGTGGTGATGGCAGTAATGATGATGGTGACAGTGATGATGATGAAAGTGATGATGATGTTGGCAGTGATGATGATGATGTCGATGATGATGATGATGATAGTATCAGTGATGATGATGATGGTGATGATGATGATGATGATGATGATGATGATGATGATGATGATGATGGTGGTAGCGGTGATGATGATAATGATGGTGATGGCAGTAATAATGATGGTGATGATGTTGGCAGTGATGATGATGATGTTGATGATGATGATGATGATGATGGTATCAGTGATGATGATGATGATGGTGATGGCAGTAATGATGGTGATGATGGTGGCTGTGATGATGATGATGATGATGATGATGATGATGATGATGAAAGTGATGATGATGATGGTGGCAGTGATGATGATGATGATGATGATGATGATGATGTAACAGTGATGATGGTGATGAAAGTGATGATGATGATGATGATGATGATGATGATGATGATGGTGGAAGTGATGATGATGATGATGATGATGGCAGTGATGATGATGATGATGGCAGTGATGATGATGATGATGATGGCAGTGATGATGATGATGTTGATGATGATGATGATGATGTATCAGTGATGATGATGATGATGATGGTGATGGCAGTAATGATGGTGATGATGGTGGCTGTGATGATGATGATGATGATGATGATGATGATGATGATGATGAAAGTGATGATGATGATGGTGGCAGTGATGATGATGATGATGATGTAACAGTGATGATGGTGATGAAAGTGATGATGATGATGATGATGATGATGATGATGATGATGATGATGATGGTGGAAGTGATGATGATGATGATGATGATGATGATGATGATGATGATGATGGCAGTGATGATGATGATGATGGCAGTGATGATGATGATGATGATGGCAGTGATGATGATGATGATGATGATGATGTAGCAGTGATGATGATGATGGTGGTGGTGGTGGTGGTGATGGTGATGATGGTGGCATTGATGATGATGATGATGATGATGATGATGATGGCAGTGATGATGATGATCATGATGGTAACAGTGACGATGATGATGATGGTGATGTAGCAGTGATGATGATGATGATGATGATGATGACGATAATGATGATGTGATGATGGTGGCAGTGATGATGATGAAAGTGATGATGATGGTGGCAGTGATGATGATGATGATGATGATGATGATGATGGTGATGGCAGTGATGATGATGATGATGATGAAAGTGATGATGATGATGGTGGCAGTGGTTGATGGTGATGATGGTGGCAGTGGTTGATGGTGATGATGGTGGCAGTGATGATGATGATGATGATGATGATAATGATGATGTGATGATGGTGGCAGTGATGATGATGAAAGTGATGATGATGGTGGCAGTGATGATGATGATGATGATGATGGTGGTGGCAGTGATGATGATGATGATGATGAAAGTGATGATGATGATGGTGGCAGTGGTTGATGGTGATGATGGTGGCAGTGGTTGATGATGATGATGGTGGCAGTGATGATGATGATGATGATGATGAAAGTGATGATGATGATGGTGGCAGTGGTTGATGGTGATGATGGTGGAAGTGATGATGATGATGGTGGCAGTGGTTGATGGTGATGATGGTGGCAGTGATGATGATGATGATGGTGGTAGTGATGATGATGGCAGTGATGTAAATGAGGACGGCAGTGATGATGACTATAATAGTAGCAGTGATGCTGATGATGATGATGATGATGATGACAGTGATGATGATGATGATGGCAGTGGTTGATGGTGATGATGATGGTAGTGATGATTGTGAAAATGTAGAGCCACCAGAAGGTCTTCAAGTTGAAAGAAGTAGAGGCAAACTGCAGCACATGGACATTTTTCCTTGAGAGCTAAAATGCCTTTCAGGCATTTATTTCACAGCTTTCCTTTTACAGATCACAAAATAAAAATAAACCTTCCCAAGCCTCCACCTGGCTTCCTTTAAATACCCCAGAAAATCACACCTGCAAACAGGGCTGGACTGGGACAAAAATTCAGCCTGGGCATTTTGACTGGAGACCGGCCCATCACCTGTTTTTTTTGGAAAAGACATTAAGCCTTACGCTGTTTCTGACACACACCAACGTACACTTTCTTATTGGTAGTATTTATGTATCAATCTAATAAACGTAAACCTACACCATCCTTCCTATCCTGGTATTCTAAAAAGTAGGGTTGGGGGTGACTGATTATTTTTAAAATGATTATTCTGACGATTATTTTATCGAATAGTCGACTATTCTAATGACTATTTAGATGATTAATCTAGTGATTACTTTTCTATTGCACAATTAATAAAAACCAAAAAATTCTCAAATAAATTCCTCCAAAAAATTGATAAGTTGTTACTGTAAGAGAATAAACACTACAGGCCTTCCATTTTGTATAACACTGCTTTTATTGTGTTGGTTGGTTATGTTCTGGTGACGTGTAGAACTTGGGAGTGCAGGCTGCTGCCTGAGAGGTGGTTGGAGACGGAGTGTCTCCATGCTGCTTTGATTTGTTCACTTATGTGCATGAGGCAAGTGGTGTTACGACCCTTCCTGGGGAGTCACGTGTTTCTCCTATTTTAACTGTAAATCCTTCTAGCTGTTATATTTATAACAAGAAACAGATATTCGGACGGAATATTTTCACGTTTATTCGAATATGATTGTGGAACACACCCAGCATCATAATAAATGAAGTAATATTTATGCCAATTTAAGCCTTTATGGGTGACCAGGACTCTGTGATCAATTTTTGGCAAGGGAAATGATCATTTGTTGCCATTTTTGAGGTGTTTATGAATGTGGAAGACACCCAGCATCCTGTGATGGCACTAATAACATCAAGAGATAATAAATAAGGTAATATTTAGGTCAATTTAACCCTTTACACGTGACCAGGACACTGTAATCAATTTTTGGCAAGGGAAATTATCTTCTTTTTTCTTTTTTTTGCCATTTTTGGGGTGTTTTTGATGATACAGTAGACAGTATGAGTACAGTAACATCAACAGATAATACATAAAACCCTTATTTGGTCAATTTTAGCCTCCATGAAAATCTTAGCAATTCAATCACTTTTTGGCAAGTAAAATGCCATTTTTGTTGTCTACAATTAAATCATCAATAAAGAATTTAAAGATATTTTGAGGCATTTCTTATAGGTAAACGGGAGGGTGTAGTCTATTTGGCAAGTGACAATCTTAATTTTATGTGCTGAAGTGCTTTTATCTTGTTACTTTTAAATAGAGCAACGTAATGAATAGCAACCTACACAGTGTCATTAAAGCCAAAGCTTGATCATTTTAAATACTTTTTTTCAAGTAAAAATGTGCCCCAAACTAGTTAACTGTGGCTCCATGTCAAGTGGACTAAAGAAAGGAAGGGGGAAAAATTAAATCGCTGGAGAATTGTTTATTTCCATTTATACAACGTTTACATTCAATACAGGGTGCCATTTTACATTGTTTATTTATTTTTTTAGTATCAAGGCTGTAACATAAAGAAAGCCAGTTCTTACCACAAAGTTTGTGGCACAAACCATCTTTCAATCGCAAATATTGCAAAAAGGATTAATATATCCTCATTGTGAACGTTTAAGACAAATAGCAACACTTAAAACAACTTCCGAACTGGAAAAACTAATGTGGCAAGGTGCAGAAAGGAGTGCCTGGGCGGGATTCGATCCCCAGACTCCCGGGTGAGAGTCATACGCTCTAACCAGTCAGCCAAAGAGACATCTCCTTAGCCTAGTAGCCAGGGCGCATGATCAATCGGGACATTGTGACAGGACGCTCACATAGCTACATCTTCCTCCCTCTTTCCACAAGCACGTCCTCGTGCTCCCGCGCAGGGTGCCACAAACACTGCCACACTAATATCCGCGATAAACATCTGTTTAAGTACCGGAAGAGGTTATCTTTGCTTTCTGAATGTCCATATTGCTAGATATGCCGAGTTTTAGGGCGAAATCCTGGGGAATTTTGTCTAGAAATGCAATTACCAAACCGTGCGCGATCCCGCGGTGGCTAATCATTTTTTGGCAGCGAGTCAATTTATGGCACAACACCGGCTCGGGTTTCTCCTCCTCCTCCCTCTTTTCTTCTCCAACCTGTCGCTGGGCTGAGGCTCCATCACTTCCTAAATTGATTTTACTTGAACCTTCACTACCAAACAACTGTGAGATTTTAACACATGTGCCAGCATCAGCCTGAAGGGCCAGTTTCTTTTTTAGTCGAATTTTCTCCGCTCCTCCTTTCCGTTTTTTGTTCTCCATTTTGTAAAGCTCGTCTGTCTGTTTACTGAGATTCACAAACAACTGGCGGGTGCATCAGACCTCTGGCTATTGGTCCAGCCCAGAGTGTATTATTACCAATTGGCCAATCCACCAACTTTTACGAGGCGTCGCGTGGGGCGGCGCGGGCAAGTTGTCCGCAACAACTAGAGGCCAGGAAAAAAAAAAAAAAAAAAAAAACAGACACCGGCCCATAAAAGATGAAAGGGTCGGCCCAGCGGGCAGTTGCCCGCTATGCCCTATGGTCAGTCCAGCGCTGCCTGCAAACAATCAGCCCCAAACATCAGTGCTCTAACATAAAATCCAAAAGGAAATAAACATCCACATAAATATACCTAAATGTTAACATAAACAAAAGACAAAACTGTTTCTACAATACAAGAAACATTTTCACACTAAGACCAAAGAAACAAATCCCACTTCCTTTGGTTTGTCCAAATGAAGCAGCCAATCATATGAGGATCCAGGGAGGTAGTACTGGGTGGGTGGGCCCGGTGGGCCCTCCCCTCACAACCTGCTCTGGATACAAAGCAAACATGAAATCCCAAATGGTAACTACATCCACACCAGTGCAATATTCACATTTCAGTATGGTTAAAATATCCCCCATCACAGTTCCAGCAGGCTACAGAAATAAATTACAGGGGCGAATGGAAATCATCCATACCACTTCGTCACAATGATGATGATGATGATGATGATGATGATGATGGGAGCAGTGATGATAATGATGATGTCTTCTAGGTGATTTCCCAGATGATGATCTTCATGATCAGCTTTGTCAGCACCGTGTTCTGTGGCCACCTGGGAAAACTTGAACTAGCAGGAGTAACGTTATCGATCATTGTGAGGATATCTTCTCGTTCATGTTTTTGTTATTGTTTTATTGTTTAGTTCATGTCTTTTGTCTACCTGCAGGTGGTTAATGTCACCGGTCTCTCCATCGGTACAGGCCTGTCCTTAACTTGTGATACTCTCATATCTCAGGTACTATCAAGAGTTTGACAGCTTTACTGAAAAAACTTTTTTTTTCTTATTATAATCGGTCACTCTGAGTTTGTCATGCAGGCTGAACATGAAAATACACAGAAAAACTCTTGCTTCAGAAAAGTGGACAGATCTACATAACGCTGTCACTTAGCACTCTATGCTGACGACAGGGAAGGTCGTTAGTTAAGCTTTCAGGAAACTGCAGGGGACGTCTCGTCTAGTAGAAGCTAACTATTAGCATTAGCAAATCTACAACGCAGTAGAACTCCTCCAAGCTGGTGTTATTTGTGGAGATAACACATCAGTGTTGTAGAGCAAACTCAGTAAGTGGTAGAGTTGCATTGCTGTTAGCCAATCACAGACAAGATGTTCAAATATCAGGAAATGAACATCTTTTGTGCGTTTTTGCTGTGTTTGTTTTCTGATTCCATTTTTGGTTCTTATTTAAAACACAGATAAGGTTTCTCTTTACCTTGCTGACGGGAACATCTTCAGCGCTGACGCTGATGGTGGCGTCACTTCCTACTAAGTTTATCCGATGAAGATGATTGCAGCCGCAAACGAAACCGTCAGCAAGGTAAAGAGAAACCGTATCTGAGTTTTAAAAAAGAACCAAAAATGGAATCAGGAAATGAAAATCCAAATCCTGTTGTCTGAAGCTACTTTCTTCTCCAGCTGAATTCTCCGGTCTTAAACATGAGAACCGGAGCTTTTTTTTCCCCCAAGAGTATGACTTACAAGGCTACTAGAGACCACTGCAATTTTATTCAAAAAATGAGTAAAGTTGGTTCAATATTGTGGGGGACTTGAGTGTGGCTTGAAGATTACAAAGGACAATTATTATCATTTATTCACATATAAGTACTTATTTGCTTGATTTTTAATTACAAAATATACAGGAGTGTATTGACAGGTGTTGAAAATCTGAGTTTTATTCAAGAAATAAAAGTTAAAAGTTAAAAACTCTAGATTTAGTTCATGAACCGCCCGCTCTGCAAGCTTAAAACACCAATAAAATAATGTGTAGTTGACAGGTTTGGATTAACTCCATGTTCCCTCACCTGAGCTGAGCTGTTCCTGATTAGACAGATTAATAAAAATTAAAATCTAGTTGTGGTTTCATAGTAGGATGATCTGAGAGAAAAGCCCGGACCCAATGTCCAACAAAATTGTGTTTTAAGTGCAGCCCTAAGATAAAAACCAACTACAAATTAATTGCGGTTTTACTTTAATTCACAGTTTAAGTATTATTATTGATTAAAATGTAATAAAAATTTATTAGAGAAGAGCTGGCTCTAGTTGGCAGTGAGCTAGAGGTTATTTGTATTCTTTATTGGAGTCTGGTACTGCCGCAGAAAGCAGAAGTAGGTCACAGATCCATTCTGGGAAAAACGACTGTTGCAAGTTTTTAACCAAAATTTTCAGCTAAAGTTATTAAAGAGGAAATTATAAATATCAGTAGGGGCACGTCGGCAGCATTCTGGTTAAAATGACGTCTACTGGTACGGTCCTCTTCACGGGCTGTTCTTTCATTTTTATTTATCTAACCAGAACATCTCAGCTGTTCTTGCTGAGTTCTCAGAATTTATTTGACCTCGGATCCATCCCTCCCTCCTGCCAAGGTTGTCGGTATGATTCCCGACGGTGTTTAGTTCTGTGTCTTCATGTTTTTATTCAGACTTATGGAAGCGGTAACCTGAAGCGTGTGGGGGTGATTCTCCAGAGGGGGGTTCTGATTCTGCTGCTGGCTTGTTTCCCCTGCTGGGCCGTCCTCGTCAACACCGAACCTCTGCTGCTCGCCGTCAAACAGAACCCAGAGGTGGCCAGGTCAGCACCTGGCAGGACCAGAACAGCTTCTCAAGACTGTTTACCTCTGATCAATTTCCCTCTGGGATTAATAAAGTATTTTTGAATTGAATTGAACTGAAAGTGCCAATGATTGTAATTTATGTTTAGGTAACATTAAAGCAAATGACACGTTGCTTTTTTTTTAAATTCTAGGCGCATAACAGTGATTTATTTATTTGTTTGTTTATTTATTTATTTTAGATGGTTTGAAAATTCATGAAATAATAATAAAAATATCTTAAAACACTCAGACAAGAACAAAGAAGAAAAACTGTGAAGATGTTTATGAGATTCTCATTGCTTTTGACCTTATTAATATTATTTTCATACTTACACAGCCAAAAACAAACCAAATTTTGTATGAAATACCAAACATCCAGAAGCTGAGTTCAGATTTTGGGATCATATGATTAATGTCGGAAAGTGTTAAGAAATTTCTGCCAGTGTTTTCCCCCAGGATGCCACAGGTGTGCTGCCTTTAGCTGACAGTGATATGTCCTCCAGTAGATAACCCTATTTTATCAAATGAACAATAATATATATTTATGAAATAGTTTAGCATAAACTTCAGTTAAATTTGCAGTTGACAGCAACACACGCAGGCGTCGTAGGACTAGCCGTTAGCTCATCAGTCATGGACGATGGAAACTCTATTTCTCCTAAGAGATGCTGTTCAGAAGCCTATCTACAATGTGGGATATTATTATTAACAAATTTTTTATTTTTATAAATGAATGAACTTTATGATGTTTTATAAAAAGATTTTTCTCGCTGTCTCACATAAACGTATTTTAACTTTTGTTTGAAGACTGTCTCAGATGTACGTGAACATCTTCATGCCTGCACTGCCGGTGAGTTCCATATTTCAACATGTTTTAACTTTAATCAAACCCTCATTTTTGTAATGCCTTGAAAAATATAGAAACTGATCTTTTTCCCACTCATTTTCAGCATTTATCATTTGAATTCACCACATGGAAAAGTTACTTGGAACAATTGCTAAATATACACAAAAAAAAAACGTATTTCTTAGCCTAGCAAGCCAACGTCTGTGTGAATATATAGTCCGGAAACAGCCCACTGACGGCTCTCAGTTATGGGGCGGGATCTACGGTTATCTTTCAAACTATCTCTGCACGCTATTCGATAACAAACAACACGATGTACTCACTGCTAGTCAATCCACCATACTCCATCAAGGAAGGTGCAAATACATAATAATAAAAATAATAATAACTTAAGCACCTCTATCTGCTGTTGACTCAAAAAGCCCACGTCAAAAGAGTCCAAAGTTGATGCCAAAGTTGTCTCAAACAAGCCGTCTCCATCTTTGGTTTTTCACTCAGTCGCAGTGGCCCACTAAACCTATAGAGCTTTGCAATTGGACCACTACGGAACGGTTGCCATCTTAGTCTCGCCCAGTTGCACGAACATCCCGCCCACCTGACTGATAAAGCGCTGTGATTGGACTGCTACGGATGTCAGTGAACAGGGAAGTCTGCCATACATCATCGAAGAAGATGCAAACCAAACTAATAGTGTGCTGTGATTGGCCAATTGGCCAGGGCAGCAGAGTTTCCAAACAAACGTGGCTACACCATCCTTTTGCTCCGGCAAACTGATGGTGTCAATTCCCAAGCTATAGAATTCAGGCTTTGGAAAAAAAAAAAATGAAGATTAAAATGTTGAGTCAGTTGTTCTGTAATCTCTCCTGGTTTTCATACAACTTCTTCCTCTCCAGGCTGCTTTCATGTACCAGCTACAGGGAAGGTATCTCCAAAATCAGGTGGAGTTTCCCAACAGAGTAATCAGAGTTGAAGCACCAGTTACATGTAGGTGTTAAATTTACCTGTTGCTTACAGGGAATAATTTGGCCCCAAGTCATAACTGGAGCAATCGGAAATGCACTAAATGCAGTGATCAACTATTTCTTCCTCTATCATCTGGAGTTGGGTATTGTGTAAGTTTCCTGCTACCAGAAACAGATTCCTGAAAGTGGATGTTTCAGCTGCATGTGGCTGAAATTTGTTTTGATCTTTTAGTGGATCGGCAGCAGCCAACGCCATCTCACAGTACTTACTGGCCGTGGTGCTGTTTGTTTACATCTGGGTGAGGGGTCTTCACAAGGCCACATGGGCAGGTTAGTTGTGCCATGTCATCGTTCAGCTTTCACTCCAAAAGTTATCTTTTCTGTGTTCTTCTGGGCATGTGTAATGGTTGATGAGTACGTAACACTCTGTAACTGTGTAATGGGAGGTGGATGGGTGGTTAAATGGATGACTGTGCACTTTAAAGTGTCATGTGGACTGAATCCAGGGCTGCTGGGTCATGGAAAATAATCGTAATATTATTAATAATAAAGTCTTGTTGGTTTCATTTGATTTATTGAGTTGAAAAACACCGTCCAGAGTTCACATTTTAGGACTGGAGACTAAATTATTCAGTTTAAAGGTGAATAAGACGTGACATTTTAAATTATGATTGCATTTATCACACTAGAGTCAATCTAGACCACCACAAAATGCTTAAGATCAGAAATAATGTCATTTGAAACATTTTGTAACACTCAAAAATGTGTGGAAGCCAACTCATTCTATTTCTACCTCATTTATCAGACATATGACAAAAACATTTCATGGGGGGGGGGGGGGGGGGAGTGAAAATTGGCACACTAAGTTGGTCTGGACAGTTTAGTCTTTAGCTGTGCTTTGCAAGCTTCTTTATTCTTTTTCAATAAAAAACCTGCAGTCAACACATTTACCAGAAATTTGAGAAATAACATTTAAAAAAAACATTCAGTAATTTTCATTATTTCATTATTTTTATTTCAGCATTTTAGAACAGTTAAGTTTGCCTGCTGCTGTCTCAAAGAGAAACGGTGTTTTACCATTAAATTCTGGAAACATCCATTGAAATGTTGTTGAACATGAATGAAATAATTCCCAGTTGTTGAAAAATATTGGTGGCTCCTTCACATATAACCATAAACATCGGGTCTAAAATAATTGGGAGCGGGTCTAAGTCTCTAGGTGATGCCACATTAGATGCTGGGTTTACTTCTAAGGAAGCCTGTGAGGACAAGACACAGTTACTGATTTGTAACGGTTACAAAACTTTCACCATTCATAAACGTTGTTTTACACATTAACCCCTGCACTCATTGCTAGTGATGAAAGGGAGTCTGATGCGTTAGTCATGTTGTCATGCAGGGGTTTTTTACCTTAACGGCCATCTGTTGGTAATTATTTAGGTATGTGCTGCCCCCAATCGCCAGGGAAAATACACATCATCACTGTATCCACAATAACTTGATTTTTATACTTCATTTAAAATAATGCTAAGAAGCAGCAACATAAATAACATATTTATATAGGGTGGCCACAATATATAATTTCTGCTCTGATTTGCTTCTTTTCTCTATTCTGCTTTCTGCTGCAGGTCAGACACTTTCTGCTCATAACTACTCTACACAATCTCACTTTTATAAAGTTCGAACCCTTTATGGTGCTCGCTCAGTATTCCCTATAGCCCTACTACTTCAAAACATCTCTATCTTCTTGGAACTAATGTTCTAATTAATGTGAATCAACATAAGAATTTAATTTATTGTGAGCAGAAAAGTGAAAAGATGTGGACTCAAGCTGATTCTGACTTTCAGGCTGGTCCCTCGACTGTCTCCAGGAGTGGGGCCCGTTCATCAAACTGGCCATTCCCAGCATGCTCATGCTTTGTTTGGAGTGGTGGATGTTCGAACTGGGAGGGGTCCTGTGTGGTGTGATCAGTGAGGTTGAGCTTGGCACTCAGTCCATCACATACCAACTGGTCGTTATAGCATATATGGTAACTCAGCAGATTTGTCTTCCATTGACTTCTCACGTGGGTTTGTTTATTGACTTTTTAAGAATTTCACTATGTTTTCTTTCCCCAACAGTTTCCTTTTGGAATCTCAGCAGCTGCCAGCGTTCGAGTTGGGAATGCTCTTGGTGCAGGAAATGTTGAGCAGGCCAAGCTGTCCAGCAAAGTTCCCATCATCTGTGCATGTAACAACAACATATCTGCATGCTGTTTGTCTTGTGCAGATAAATATTTTTTAATTCATATAAAAGTCATATTTTCTTTTGTAATTTCTTCATTCTCTTCACATCTATCTCAACAAGTAAACATATTTTCACAATAAACAAAGTTTTATAGATAGTTTTGAACAATGCAACTTTCTGACTGGATTGACACGCTAACAGCTAGACGCAACAAAGATGAATGGATGGCAGTCGTCTTCAAATTACCCCAGTCTCCACATTTTCAAATTACATTTATTAAACGTATTTAATACAATTCTTACTGTGATTTTTATACTTATTTTTGTGGAAAAATTCATTTCTGGACACAGCTAGCTACAACTATTGTTACTGTTGTCACTTGTAATTATCCAGAATTCATTGCAATATCATAAAATATTTATCTTTTTCTTTTTTGCAGTGATTATTGCATGTTTTGTTGGAGCCGGTTTTGGCGCAACTAAAGACGTCATCGGACACATTTTCACTTCAGATCAGTAAGTGTAATAAAACAATAAATGCATGTTTGACCCTTTAAAGCCTCAAATATCAAACAACAACAGAACATCAAGTTTTTAAAGGCACAGTGTGATATTTTTACCTGTTTACTATCAAATCCTGTGTTTCCAGTTCACAAACTTGTCCTTTTTCACTAATATTTCTCACCAACATCAATTCTAAATATTACTCTCAACTTGAAATTTTACATTTAAATACATAAACTGTGGTCGACGCTCCATGGTCATCCACCATCTTAAAATACAGTAGCTGTTTAGGGACATACGAGCTCCACGTTACCCGTTTGGACTGTGACTGTAACCCAAAAGAACCAGCAGAGGGCAGCAGTGTGCCCTGGAAGCATGGAGTCTGCTAATTAAACTAAGAAATAGAAAAGAATAGCTACACTGTTGCTGTACTTGTTAGTTTGAATAACAAACTATTAAATCAAAAGACACATAAAATTTGTCAGTTCCTCATCTTGTCTAACACAAGGAAGCCGCATATGTTCAGATCCTCGCCTGCTATTATCTGGACGCCAGCCTCCGATTAGTGTCTCTGTTGTTCATCCGACTTTTCCGAGCACCAGAACTCCCAACCTGCTCTCAACGTGTCCGTTCCAATGTACTTCTACTCAAGTCTCCTGCAGCCGTTTCACCTCTCATCCGAGAGGCTTCTTCAGTTCTTCAATTCTGAGGTCCTCAGAACCTCAGAACTGAAGAAGCCTCTTGGATGAGAGGTGAAACGTCTTCAAGCAACTCAAAGAAGTCCAGACGCTTTTCTTTCAAGCTCATTAGACTACAATAACCTGGATGACTGAGAACCTTCACAGACATACCTCCAATGAGGAGCCTCCCAGGAGGAAATAACTTCCCCCATTTTCACTCAAAACCTCCTTCCATGGAAGTACAACTGAAACCATTCAAGGGCTGACCCTGACTAACTATAACATAAGATTATTAAAATCTGTATTAATTCTAAATCAATATAACAGTAAACAAATAAAATTGGCTCTTACCAATTGTAAATCATCCACTAGGGGGCAGTAGACATGTGTAGGAGTGGATATGGAAGGTTTCTGGTGAAGGTACGAATCCTGATGCTCCATCTGGATCCTTTAGGGCTAGAGGTAGCGTGATGTGTTTAATGACCACTTAACCATTTAGTAAAGCACATTTTAGTCTCTATAATCCATTAGAAGCATGAATTGAATTTAAATAAAAAATAAATAAACAATATATGTGAATGTTTGAAGAAAAAATAATATTACTCTAATATTAGTATTAGTATTTTGAAATTATTATGACCTCATATTATACTCTTAAACCTTCCAAATATCTTGGGAAATTCTTAAGGATATTGGTGTTGAAGGTAAAGAGTAATGATGTTGCTTTGCTGTTAAACAGAAACAGTTTTCAGTTCATCTTCTCAGTCTGCTAAAGCAGATCCATCAGCTGTTTGAAGTCAGATGTTTGAATCTGCCTGTTTCAGAGACATCTTACAGCGGGTCGCTGACGTCCTGATCATATTTCCCTTTGCTCATCTTGCTGATGCTGTCGCAGTAAGAAACTATTTCATGGCAACGTCTTCCAGCTGATTATACGACATAAACTGATCTGATGGCATCTGTGCTTGCCTAAAGGGAGTCACTGGTGGAGTCCTCAGAGGAGCAGGTAAACAGCTGATCGGGGCCTTCTGCAACCTGGTGGGTTACTACTTCATCGGCTTCCCCATTGGCATTTCCCTTATGTTTGCAGTCAAGATGGGGGTTGTGGGTAAGCATGGGCTGTAACGTGCAGACCTAAGAACGTATCTTTGGCCTCCTACTCATCTAATTCTTCTCACGTTCTCACTCGCAGGACTTTGGGCAGGACTCACAGTCTGTGTGTTTGCACAGTCGGTTTTCTTTGTCATGTTTTTGTACAAACTTGACTGGAAGAAAGCTGCAGACGAGGTGCGTGTTAGCATTTTGAAAACATGTGATTACCAGGGACGTGCACAGATGTTTGAAGGGCAAGATGCTCAAAGCTAAAATGGGCACGAAGTTTTCAAACACCTTAAAACATTATAATTTACAGAATACCAGGTTGAGTAACAATTACCCGGTCAATGCCACCCTGGAAGCACTGCTGAGGGTAGAGAGCCAGCTGAGGTGGTTCCGGCATCTTATCAGGATGCCACCTGACGCCTTCCTGGGTGGTGTTTCGGTCATGTCCTGCTGCCAGGAGGCCCCCGGGTCGACCAAAGACACAATGGAGCAAGTACATCTCCAATCTGGCCTGGGAATGCTTTGGGGACCTGTCAGAGAAGCTGGTGGAGGTGGCCGGGGAAAGGGTTGTCTGGGATTCCTTACCACGACCCAAACCTGGATGAAAACAAATGAACCAACGAACAAACGATGGACCATTCATGCAAATGGCATCGCTCAAAGTGGGTGGAGTCTCTAGAAACTGGAGTTTATAATTTGTTTCTGATTTGGTAAGCCATGACTATTGCTCTGGTCAGAAACTCCGCCCACTTTGGGTGATGTCACCTGCAGGTCGGGTCCTCACTGCAGATAAATGTCACATAAATAAGATTAAAATATCTCCTTAAATTTTGTTGGTGGGGTAGTGAGGTTGCACTAACTCCTGTCTTCTGCAGGTGAGATACTGACTGATTATTTGGACCTTACCCAACTCAGTGTTAAATGTCAATGCATAACTCAATTATACAGTGCTACTGTCAACTAAAGAAACCATTTAACATGCGTTTAATGATAACCTCCCGTGTTTATCAGGCTCTTGTGAGAGCAGGAGTGCAGATTAAAGAAGATAACGAGTTGACCAATATGGAAAATACAGGTGAGCTCTACGATTTGTGAAAAAAAAAACTAGAGTTCATAGGAAAGTGCACTCTAACTGGTCTCTTTCTGGATCCCAGACTGCAATCAGCTCAGCGCTGCAGAATCAAGTCCTGACCCAGAGGACCACACAAACGAGGAAGTGCAGACTCCAGACCAGCATAAATCCACCTCCATCACCGTGGGAGATGTTCTGTCCAAGTCTCAGCTGGTCGTGCGGCGAGGCCTGACAGTGCTGCTGATGCTCACAATCCTCGCTGCTGGACTCGTCATCTCATTCATCCTGACTAAGCTGCTGAAGTGACTTGCCTTCATGATGTAAAGCAGTCAGATGCACACATAGGGGACCGTTTCCTCCTCTCTCAGAAGCAGCAGATGGCATCTTTATGTGGGATTTAGGCAGAAAGTGTCTGAGTTTTTATTAACCCTCCCACTGTCCGAATGGGTGTGACCCAGTGAGGAAAGTTGACCGTTGAGCAGGGATGATGGTTTATCCCTTGAGGTCCATGTGGCAGGGGTGAGGCGTGGGCACCACCTCACCCCTGCCACATGGACCTCAAGGGATAAACCATCATCCCTGCTCAATGGTCAACTTTCCTCACTGGGTCACACCCATTCGGACAGTGGGAGGGTTAAAGGAGATTAGCCATATTTTTACAAAAACAACAACAAAAAAAGTTAGTGAAAGCTGGTCTTTGTTGTGGCTGCGCAGTGGTGCAGTGGATAGAGCTGTTGCCTTGCAGCAAGAAGGTCCTGGGTTCGCTTCTTTCTGCATGGAGTTTGCATGTTCTCCCTGTGCAAGCGTGGGTTCTCTCCAGGTACTCCGGCTTCCTCCCACAGTCCAAAAACATGATTGTTAGGTTGATTGGTCTGTCTAAATTGTCCTTAGGTGTGTGTGTGTGTGTGTCTCTGTGTTGCCCTGCGGTGGACTGGCACCCCCCCCCCCCCCCCCCCCCATGGATGGATGGTCTTTGTTGTAGTTTGCTGGTTAGAGGCTGTCAACTGTTAAAAATGAGCTTTACGCAGAAGTTTTCTCTTTGATTATTTAGATATATTTAATGCTCTGGATAGAATCCAGGGAAAACTCCTATGGATGCTGCTTCATGTGACCCGGATGGTGGCTTTGAACCAGGAACCTCAGGGGTTCTCTGCAACTGGAATTGCATGTTTGTGTTTAATGTGTCATTAGATTGGTGTGAAGCTTCTAAAAGACGAACTATAACAGAAAATGTTCCAATGTTTAACCTGGCATATGTCACTTTCATGACCTTTAAACTAAAACAAAAGCTTTTTGAACTCCAGTAAAAATTCCCTTAAAGGAAATGAAAAAGTAAAGTGCACTTGTTTGTTTATTCAGTGTTTTTTGTTTTATTTGGAAAGAAAATAAACTTGAATCATTTGAAAAAGGTTGTAGTACTGTTTTGTATTTTATGATCATAATAAGCCTAAAATGAAATATAAATTGGAGAATGTCTTAAGTATAATGTGTTTAAGAAGTAAAGTTCTGACGAAGCTTTTTCTTCAAAAACACAGAAAAGACTGAAATGTTTATCAGATGTGGAGCTGACAAGGGGCAGCTCTTCCTGTTATTATTTAAATAGAGAGCACAATACCGCGCTGTCTCAGCAAATGTGAAAGGATCACGGCTTGAGGGCCGGAAAGTAGAGGTTCGCAGGCGGGGCCAGACTGCAGGCCGCCCATTGAGGGACACTGAGCTACCTGCACTACAGACTGTTGCTGCCCTCTAGTGGCCAAAGGTGAAAAATCATTATTTCACAGTGGAGGAATTAATTTTGGACGGTGTTTAAGAGCTGTAATCATGGGATGAGAACGCTGATATAAAAACCTTTCTATCCTAACTCATGTTTTATCATCTTCCTCTGACCGGCTTATCGTGGAAATTAAAGCTTCAGGTCAGTTTCCTTCATTACATTTCATTTAGTGAATCTTGTGGCAAAAAACCTAACTGTAAATTCCTTTATGGCTTTGTGGAACCAGACAGCCTCCATTTGTCTCCAGATTTCAGTGACCCAGTCTCAATACTCGCAGTGCACCCTGCTCTCTTCAGCAAAGCACACAAGGCTTCGACTGCGTAGTACACAAGTGTACAAATAATAGCCAACTTGGGATAGGGAGCTGCATTGTGTTATCAATGGCAATGCATGCCAGAATGCTGGTCTCCGTGATACTTAAAAAAAACTTTATTTATACTTTCAACCAACCAAACTATTTGAAATAAATTTACATTCATTGCTTTGTCTAAAACATTCAGAGCACCAATTAATCGTCTAGCAGTAGCTCAGGAGGTAGAGCGGGTTGTCCAGTAACTGGAAGGTTGCAGATTCAATCCTGGCTCCGACCAGAACAAAGGCACATGGCATTCCAGTATATTTTGCACACGTTGTCCATCCATCCATTCACTTTCAGCCGCTTACCAGGGTCGGGTCACGGGACAGTAGTCCCTCCAGCGCATCCTGGGTCTGCCTTTGGTCACAATTATTTACGTTAAAGTGGAAGTCAAAGAAACACTGCTAAACGTGTCTTTCCAGTTTTTAATCAAAGACAATTTATGCAAAAAATACAACTGTGCCTCCGGTAAAGGAGCACATATCCATGTGCTCTTCATCAAAGCAGCACCTTAAAGTATGAAAATGAGAGATAAGAGATACCAGGACAGGCAGTCAGAAAAGAAAGAGCAGAGATCAGTCAGTGCAGTTTAACATGTACAGGTGCTGGCCAGTAAATTAGAATATCATCAAAAGGTTGAAAATATTTCAGTAATTCCATTCAAAACGTGAAACTTGTACATTATATTCATGCAATGCACACAGACCAATGTATTTCCGATGTTTATTACATTTAATTTTGATATTTATAGGTGACAACCAATGAAAACATCAAATCTGGTATCTCAGAAAATTAGAATATTCTAAAGGCCAATGAAAAAATGTTTGTTTCTCTAATGTTGGCCAACTGAAAAGAATGAACATGAAAAGAATGTGCATGTATAGCACTCAATACTTAGTCGGGGCTCCTTTTGCCTCAATAACTGCAGTAATGCGGCGTGGCATGGACTCGATCAGTCTGTGGCACTGCTCAGGTGTTATGAGAGCCCAGGTTGCTCTGATAGTCGTCTTCAGCTCCTCTGCATTGTTGGGTCTAGCGTATTGCATCCTCCGCTTCACAATACCCCATAGATTTTCTATGGGGTTAAGGTCAGGCGAGTTTGCTGGCCAATCAAGGACAGGGATACCATGGTCCTTGAACCAGGTGCTGGTGGTTTTGGCACTGTGTGCAGGTGCCAAGTCCTGTTGAAAGGTGAAGTCTGCATCCCCATAAAGTTGGTCAGCAGCAGGAAGCATGAAGTGCTCTAAAACTTCCTGGTAGACGGCTGCATTGACCCTGGACCTCAGGAAACAGAGTGGGCCAACACCGGCAGATGACATGGCACCCCACACCATCACTGACGGTGGAAACTTTACACTGGACCTCATGCAACGTGGATTCTGTGCTTCTCCGCTCTTCCTCCAGACTCTGGGTCCTTGATTTCCAAAGGAAATGCAGAACTTGCTTTCATCAGAAAACATAACTTTGGACCACTCAGCATCAGTCCAGTCCTTTTTGTCCTTGGCCCAGGCGAGACGCTTCTTGCGCTGTTTCATGTTCAAGAGTGGCTTGACACACGGAATGCGACACCTGAATCCCATGTCTTTCATGAGTCTCCTCGTGGTGGTTCTTGAAGCGCTGACTCCAGCTGCAGTCCACTCTTTGTGGATCTCCCCCACATTTTTGAATGGGTTTGTCGTCACAATTCTCTGCAGGGTGCGGTTATCCCTAGAGCTTGTACACTTTTTTCTACCACATTTTTTCCGTCCCTTCGCCTGTCTGTTAATGTGCTTGGACACAGAGCTCTGCGAACAGCCAGCTTCTTTAGCAATCACCTTTTGTGTCTTGCCCTCCTTGTGCAAGGTGTCAATGATTGTCTTTTGGACAGCTGTTAAGTCAGAAGTCTTCCCCATGATTGTGGTGCCTTCAAAACAAGACTGAGGGACCTTTTAAAGGCCTTTGCAGGTGTTTTGAGTAAATCAGCTGATTAGAGTGGCAGCAGGTGTCTTCTATATTCAGCCTTTTCAGAATATTCTAATTTTTTGAGATACCAAATTTGGAGTTTTCATTAGTTGTCACTTATGAATATCAAATTTAAATGTAATGAACATTGGAAATACATTGGTCTGTGTGCATTGCATGAATATAATGTACAAGTTTCACGTTTTGAATGGAATTACTGAAATATTTTCAACCTTTTGATGATATTCTAATTTACTGGCCAGCACCTGTATTTCATGGATGAGGTGCTCATGTTCAGAGCTGGTGACCAGAACGATTCAGGATGAGCAGATTTCTTTTTAATATCCGATTCCCTTTCCTTCTTAAAATGTAAACATCAATTAGAAAAAGTACAGAACAGAGATTGCTTTGAATAATCAAAGAAAATAATGGCTTTAAATCTGCAGAGTTCAGGAAAAAACAAAAAACAGACAGGTCAGGTACCACATAGTTTTTATGGTGGATTCATGCTAGGTTCTTATGGGTTCCTGCCTATAAATAGTCAGATCTCATCTTTAGAATATCCATCATGTTGTCCTCATGTCAACTTTGTGTAAAATAAAAAAAGTAAAACTAGACTATTGAAATCAGAATTCACATTTAAAACCTAGCCAGAACTAAATTGTGTTTTAAGATGCAGATTTAATAAAATAACTCTAAACTAATGAACGCTCAGATGTATCAAGTAATAAAACATTAGATCTTTCTGACTTTTGTAAAAAAAAAAAAAAAATCTGTTTTGTTTAGCAAAGGTTTTGAGACCATAACGTTGAGATGAAGCCTCAACAGCAGACTGATTTCTGTCAACTTTTAATCCCCGCCATCTTCTCCCTTTTTAACCTCATTGTCCTCACAGCCATCTGCCCTCTTCTCCACCTGCACACCTTCAGCACCCTTATTCATCTTCTCCTTTTGGGATTCCTTTTCACCCGTCTTCTCTTCCACTTTCTCGGACTCTCCTTTACCGAGTTCTTCTGCGTCAGTGTTTGTGGCGACCACAGCAGGTTTGGGAACGTCTTCTTTTACTATTTCATAAACATTAAACTTTCTGTACAGCTGATAATCTTTGACCACGCAGACGCAGCAAACGGCCTTGATGACCTCCACGATGACCGTAAGCTCAGGGTTTGTCAGGTCCACTTTGTTTTCCTGGTTCAGGCTTCCCAAAACACCTGAACTGGTGAAAAGTTGACTGGTCAGTTTTCGACGTCAAAAAACATAAAAATTTAAAAAATAAACATGAACCTGAGTTAACCTGCAACATGTTTGATGATTTCCTCTCGCTTGTTCTGGTTGTTGTTGCGAGCTTTGTAGGCGATCTTGTAGGTTGTGCTGTTGGGAGCTTTAAACCAAGGCACCAGGAACGTGGTCAGATATTTTACTATATCTTCCTGGTAAGCCCTGCATGTTCCAATGACCTGAAGGAGAAGAAAACATCAGCGACTGCAGGTGTTGAAGGGAAAACTGCAGACTCATCAAAAAAAAAAAAAAAAAAAAAAAGACAATGGCATGTAAAACCGTGATAAAAAACACAACCACGTTATCTCATTACTGTTTAGTGCATCGACAGGTGGGTGTCTTCCAATTTTTATAAGATGTAGAGGTAGTGTGAAGTAGCATGGTCCTTCAAGAGTGAGGTGTTTGTTAGGAACAAAATAAACTGACTGCTTTTTATGTGTTTTCTCCCTTAACCTTTTAGTTGGTAAACAACCCAATCTAGTTTTACTACATTCTACTGTGTTATGCTGGTATTTTCATTCTGGACAAACAAGCATAAGAATTTTGCAAGCTTGTCTATCATATAAGGGCATGATTGAGGTTGCATCCGTTTCGTTAAATGAGAGAAACACTAAAGCCGGGCGTACACTGTGCAACTTTTTCACTCGCAGCGTTCAGCTTCAGCTCAAACTGTACGACTTCCTCGCAGGGCAGATCTCACGAGCCAGGCGCTCACACTGTACGACCCAGTTCTCGGATGCGACCTGACTGCTCACACTGTACGTCTGGTAGCAACACGTCGGACCTAAAAATATGCTAAAAATAGCAGTTTTTACTCAACACGTCAGACTTTTTTGTCTTGTCTTGCCTGTTGTCCTTCGGGAGAGCTGCAGGAGGACACACAGGGATTTATGGGGGTTGGATGAGGAAACGAAATAAAGAAAGTAAATCTGTGTTTTGTGATCAGTTTAATATGACATGAACACGACAAACACGCTTTCTTGACAATCTTTGTGAGTAAAAAAACGTGTAGAAATAAAAACAAACAGCGTGTGTTATTAGGGAAATAGCGGGGAGCAGTGTTGATAAAGGATTGCGCATGCGCCGTGAGCGGTTCTGATACTTTTTGGGCCGCAGCTGCTCGCAGCGCCGCTTCAACAGTGCGATACCCTCACGAGGGACGAGCAAAATATTAAACACGCCAGAAGTCCGTGCGACCTCATGACTGCTGATCGGTAGCTGGTCACGTGGTGTTAATCGCCTCTCTTAACCACCTGTACACTACACGACGCTCAGCACAAAACTCGCCCCGATTTTGTGGATTCTCACACGAGTGGAAAATCGTCTCAAAAAAGTGAAAAAGTCGCACAGTGTACGCCGGGCTTAATACATTTGCAGTGGTCTCTAGTAGAAATTAACGTCTTTTAAGTCGTATTCAGTGGGAGGAAAAATATACCAGTGTCCCATTTCCAGGAACTAGCGGTGACACACATCACAGCTGAGCTTCAGATGGCAGGTTTTAGAGTCTTATTTCCGAATATTTGGACGTCTCACCCTGAATTGGATAACAGCAACGCAATGCTATACCACTGACTTACAACGTTGATGTTTTTATCTCCAAAAACAAAAACAAACCTGGAGGAGCTCCTGCTGTGTGGTGAAGTATCCAATGCTAATGGTTAGCTTATACTAGTCAAGATGCTGTCTGTTGATTCCTGGACGTTAAACCAGCAGCCTTCCCCATTGTGAGTCAAGACAGGTGAGCTCATGAATGTTAAGAGACAGTGTGACGTAGATCTGAGAGGATTTTCAAATTCTAGAGTTTCACCGTCTATTTTCTATCAGAAGCTAAAGCAGGAGATAGGTGTAGGAGACCATTTTCATGTTCAGCCTGCAGGAAAAACTCAGAGCGATGGATTATAATCAGAAATAATCATTAAAAAAATTGGTTTCAGAGTCCCACATGTTTAAAATGAAATGGCGATGGGTAAATGCATACAGACATCTTGTTGCTTTTCTATTTTCCAAATAATTTCTGACAATAAAATCTCTCAGTTCTACACATGTAATCTCTGATTGTACAAATGTCAATCTGAAAATTGTAAAAAACTGAAGTTGTTAAGTAATATCATGCGAGTTTGATTCTATTAAATATGATCATCTCACAGGCAGCATTCGAAGAATTAAACGCGACTTTTTCTTCTTGGTGGTGTACAGATCCGTCAGAATGTAATGAACCAGTTTGTTGGGATCTAGAAGAGAAAAATAAAACATTTTTTCAACAAAGCCAGAAAAACATCGTACCTACAACCTTAACACAAGACTCACCTATATTTCGAGTTCTGATGAAGATGACGTTGAACGCTCCACTGTCGAGGACCTGGAAGCGTCTCTCCTCGTTTGTTCTTTGTGCTTTCAGCTGTGCCACTTCCTTCTTCAGAGCATCATCAACATCCTCTTCTTCATCCTCCTTTTCCTCAGTGGGTTCAGAGTTGTCTTGAAGCTAGGGTCAAGAGTGATTTATAGTCAATACCAGGGTAAAATGGCAGATCAAAACTTGTGTATGTTTTTCCATCAGGATGGTTTCATTGATCAGGGTTATGACCAACTAGTGTATGAAAAGATCTTGTGTGCACTGCGGTGGGAGGAGGAACATCCGCCGTCACATTCTGGCATTTGCTCTGACTGCGGCTATGCTGGTGGGGAGAAGTTGCGGGTGTAACGTCCAGCAATGGTCAGTTTAGGTACAGTCTGGCCTTTCAACATCTATTCAACATCTGGTCAGAAAGGAGACAACACTGCAAGTGTTCCCTTTAAATGAGCCTGCCTTCATACCAGCTGGGGCTCACAGACTCTGCAAGTCTAAAAGATAAACAATAGCTTTCTTTCCCAAGGTCCCATCTGTCTGCCTCCACAGAAGGAACAACTCCAGCTCGAATCAGTTGCTAAAATCAAGAAAGATTTCCTAAATCAATATGAACTTCTTCCATGACTCATAATCTATATAATCATTAAATAAACATTTGTTTATTACTACTTATAATAATTATAGTATAATGAAATGCCTCATTAATCTGTGCTCACTGAATGGATGTTATGTTATGTTTGTCTACTAGAACCTGCCATGTGTTCAACATGTTTTGACGACGAGGTCCTCACACCTGCACTCACACAATGACAAGTATGGTTAAGTTAAACTCCAACACATTACTTGCCCTTTTAACCAGTCAGAACATCCGGTATCAAAGAAGGTGTGTTTCTGAGTTGTCTTGGTAACATCTCCCAAGCTGTCAGCCTCTGATAACATCAAAACCTTAAAACTGGATCATCCTGAGTGATTCGACAGTTCTAGAGAATCGCTCAGACCGGCCACCTGTAGCAAAACCTCTTTAACCATCAAAGATTTTGACAAGTTGTCAATAGGGCTGTCGCGGTAACCGCAAAAATGAAATATCGCAATATGAAGAAGCCCACCGCGCTGCATCATGGGCCACCGCGATTACTGAACTTGGTTCAACTCAATGATGCATGTTGAGAAGGATGGCTGCACTGGTATCAAAACGAAACGTTACTTCGCTCCTTTGGGAGCACTTTGGTTTTCAGTACGTCAGCTGCTGCGCAGCCAGAGTCCTTGGCCGAGACGGAGCTGCCACCAGCGGCAAAAAAAAAAAACATAAATAAATAAACGCTCGGAGACCTGCTGAAGTCCCGGACAAGCACTGCTTCTGCAACCGTCCCGAAGAGAGTTTGAGCCGAGCTGGAGCTCACTCGCTACCTGCAGGAGGAATGCATCCACCCTAAAGAAACCCCCCTGACATGGTGGAGCAACAACCGGGAGAGATTCCCTTTGCTCGCCAGAGTCGCACGCAAGTACGTGTGCGTTAGTGCAACGAGCGCACCATCCGAGAGGGTTTTCAGTGTTGCTGGAAATGTTGCCACCCCTCTCAGATCCTCTCTCAAACCGTATATGGTTAACATGCTGGTTTTCCTTGTAGGTAACAAGGACGTGACCGAGCTATAAAGCACCGTCATTCGTGTGTGTGAAAGTGAAATGATAGTGCGCCCGCCCCCCCCCGGCGCGCGCGCGCCCGGTACATGTAATTTTTTATGCTTGATTTTAAACAACTAAACAAAATGGGGACTTGTTTCTTATTTGATAGATGCTGCAGCCAAATTTGCATTTATAAGTTTAACCTCCTCCTGAATTTTGTTGTTTTTAAGTTCAGTCGGACTCCGACTGTCGGAGAAATAAACGTTACTGCGATCTGTGTTGTTACTGCCCTTTGATCTGCATTCAGTAAAGTGTTATAAAAGAAGGCACGGCAATTTTTAACCTTTTTTAAATGTGTAAGCATTATGTTTAGATAGTACTGCAATAAAAAAAGGGCTGCAATAATATCGCACACCGCAATATTAAGCCACCCTGAATCACCGCAGGAGGAATTCCTCAACCGCGACAGCCCTAGTTGTCAAAACCTTTTTGCACCTGCAAAGCTGATGAGCAAACAGTTCCTGCAGAAACAAAGCTGATGTTGTTAGACTCCTTAAGAGTCTGCCAGACGCACGGTTCCATCCAGCTGTTGTGACCCGAGACATCTCTGGACTGAAGAGTCGGTACCACGGTATTCTACAGCCCTCTGGTGCCAGAGATCAGCCGACCCCTGCGACTTTCAGATCTACCAAGAGGGTCTCTCCAAAACGGGTGAAGTAGACATGTCAGATTGCGTCTGATGTTCTTCTGATGATAACAACTTTATAGCTTAGAGCAAACCAAATTATTTTCACCAGAAGTCAGCTTACTTTGATAAGGAAGCTCTGACTGACATCGCATTCACACATAGGTTCCTTCATCACGTTTTGTTACATCCACTCACAGTAAATGCTTTGTTAATTAGTCATGTTTTAATTGTTTGTAAAATTAAATTCTTACTTTTATAAACCTGACTCTTTCTTGAAGTAACACAAAGTGTGGTTGATCACTGAAAAAGCAAAGAACCTAGATCTTCTGAATTAAATCCTAGAATCTTCTGATAATTACAATGAAGACCTAGCAGGGTAATATTTTATATTTATATAGAATATTACATCCTCCTGGTCATAACAAATAATAATCATCGATTTGCTTATGCTACACGGGTCTCAGCTGACCTGCTGGCTTCTGTCAGGTAACTCAGGTTGTTGCTCAATAGAGCTCCGGACCCCACGTGACTCTCAGTTAGTAGACGCCATATTGGCAGGAAAAAAAGGTAAACAAATACGGATTGTAAACATGAACGGGATCGGCTTGGATTTTACTTCGGAGTTTACTTCACACTTTAAAACCAACGAAATTGTTTTATATAGTCAGACATTAAATAGACTAAACATCTCCGACCCTTACCGTGCCCCTGGGATACTTTTTAAAAATGCCAGAAGCTGTCATAGTGGACTTCTTACTGGACCTGGCCGGGGAACCCCTTGGGATTTCCCCGGAGGAGCTGGCCCAAGTTGTTGGGTAGAGGGAAGTCTGGGCCTCTCGACGCTACTGCCCACGTAACCCGACTCCGGATTAGCGGATGAAAATGGATGGACAAATAACAGATTTAGATGTAAGTAGTTTAAATAGAGTGCTGTGCTGTTTGAATGTATAAACTGAACGCCAAGAGAAATCACTAGTCTGATTTTTTTTCTGTGAGTAAAATAAATATGTCAGGCAGGAGCGTCTCAGGATCTGTCTGAGATCGGTCTCGGTGAGACAGAAAATAGCAATACAAAGTGCTTTTATGTGTGATCTGACAACAGCACAGCTTAGCCGGTTAATTGCTGTGATCATAAAACACGTAAACGGCAGCACGCAGAACTCACGAGGCAACGTTTTACGTGATGTTTACTTGTTACTATGAGTAATAAGACAGAAAAAGCCACGCCAAAATAAGTTTAGGAAGCCCACTAAGAATCGTAATAAAAGCATTTAAAATAAATACCATACACAGTTGAGGAAACGTTGGTTTAAGTACCTGATATGAAGTGGTCGCTGCATAAGCGAAAACCTTTACTCTCGGGATCCCACAGTTTCATTTTAGCCCAGTCACTAGCGCGTTTTATTACAACGATCCAACGCTTGCGGCGCTCCAGATCTTGGGGAATCCTGTAGATGGCTCATTCCTTATGTCGTCCACGTCTGTTCTGCATCCTGGGGCACAACAGGAATCTACCATACTTGTTTGATTGAGTTTTCTGACAATAACAAATAGTCCAGCTGCAGGCTTCTGCATGCCAATATGGCGCCGTTTAGATTTGAACTGTTGCATATAGGGTTGTCGCGATACTAAAATTTCAAACTCGATTCGATACTTGAAAAAACTCGATACACGATTTCGATACTATTCAAAAACACCAATCTATTGAACAAGTTTATTCAAAAAATAACATTCCTCGATTTATATTGCAAAAATTAAATGTTAAGAATTAAGTGTGTAAAGTGCTTAAACCTTTCAAGTATCAGCATTTTTTAAAACGTGCATACAAAAACCGGCGAAAGTTAACACTTTAAATCATGAATGGTCTCACTATATATACACTATTTGCAGAGTGATGTTTTGCTGCTTAAACTCTGTTTAAGTTGCATTTTTGTCATAAGATGTAATGCCATATGTTTTGTTCTGTACTTTTGAACAACTCTGTTGGTCAATAAAGGGAGAAAACGAATTTCTCCACAGTAGGACAAAGGTACATCTACCGGTAATCTAAATAAACACAGACTGGCGCACGGCAGTGACGTCATTAAAAGCGCCGGTTAATTAGCCGCAGCTAGTCTGTTTACGCCTAGAAATCCCAGACCCGCTCCAAACGAACAGGGGAATCACGTTAATGATTCCTAACAAAACCTTTCGACATGAAGATGTTTTGGTGCAGATAATGTCTTATTTCGAGGCTGCACCATGGGTGCCCGTCCACACCCGTTATATGGATATACACTGACGGCGATTCGCCGATGGATCTAAATACCCCGGGTAGGGCTGTAGCGAAGCCTCGACGAAGTCGACGGCTCGATTCTAAAAATTTGTCGACGTCAGATCCGGAAGTCGACGCACCGCGCCCACTTGTTGCATCCCCAGGAGTTTGTAAATAGAGGAGGAATCTGCTAGTTTTTCCTCTAGTTCGCCCTCTTCTCCGCCTTCACTAACATCTCCGCCAAATACCGAAGACCCGGAACAACGTCCGTCCACTACTAGATTATTTTCCTGTTTTGCCCCTTCGTCTCCCGGCAACGGACAACAACTTCCGGGGTCAGATGCGCTGCTTCGTGTCTATCGCAGATGTAGAAAATCACCGGGAGCGCTTCTCCCTTCATTAAGGAGCTTCTTTCAGACACGAGGAGAGCTGTTTTGGTGGTAGCAGTCTCTCCTCCGTGCTGGTCTGTTTGCTGCTGGGTGTTTTTGGTTTATTTAAACTTGGTAACTTGAACTTAATGTTGGTAAAGCTACTTTTAGCATCTTCGCTAACAGCTTCTTGCGTTGGGAT